ACATTTTGGTCATCTGTATAAATGAGAGCCCTCGACCAAAACAAAGCTTACAATATAAACACAGTTTCTAAAAATATCCGTTTTTATAAAACATGCGGGTTTTTTTTTTGTTTGTTTTTTTGTTTTGTTTTTTTTTCCCCAAAAATCTAAGAATGCTGAATTACGCTGCTGGAACTTTTATCTAAAATAAGCTTGTTTGTTTTCATTTACATAGAAACATACCTTTAGTGATTTCTTTACCGTAAATTTCTGCTCACATTATCGTTAAAAAGAATAAAGAAAATATTCCAAACCATGCGATATCTATTTATTGTATCGTAGTTTGGAGACCTTTCTGTTGAAAATGTGTCAGAGTTAAATCGTATACATATACATGCACCGTGCGTTAACTGGAGTGCATGTATTAGTTACTCGCACTCCAGAGCATACCCATTGATTGGTTCATTTTTGCTGGTGACGGAAGAGAAAGGAAAAGCGAAAGAAATATCATATTCAGATGCTCGTTCATTGGTTACTTTTTCCCGGGGTTTCATATTGTGACAACAGGGAACGTGTTTTAATGTTTGATTATGATACAAAAGAGAAAGAACATCAAAACACTCGGCAATCTGATAAATACTCGGGGGCTACGCCCCCCTCGTACAAATCAGATAGCCTCGTGTTTCGATGCTCTTTCTATTACTTGTATCATAGTTTGGGGATCTTTCTGTTGAAAATGTGTCAGAGTTAAATCGTATACATATACAAGCACAGTACGTTAACTGGAGTGCAGGTATTAGTTACCCGCACTCCAGAGCATGCCGATTGACTCATTTTTGCTGGGGTTTACTTATTGTGACGACAGAGAAAGGGGGAGCGACAGAAATATCATATTCAGATGCTCGGTCATTTGGTTACTTTTTTTCTGGGGTTTCATATTGTGACAACAGGGAACGTGTTTTTATGTTTGGAGAAAGAACATCAAAACACTTGGCAATCTGATTTATACTCGGGGGTTACGCCTTCAGACTTACAAAATCCCTGACCTTTAAATGCGTGTTAGTGCTTCTGCACGAAACAAGGTGCATTAACTCTCTTCTATAATAGAAAAACCTGATGCTTATATTTAGTCGTTTATTTTTTTATTCACGTTATTTTAGAAAATCGCCCGTCATTCAAAACCTTAACTACCATCATCACCACCACCAACAACAGCCATTAGCAGCAGAACAACAACAACAACATTTAACACTAACGATCGCCAAATAACATTTCCGGGACAAAGTTTATTTTTATAATAGTACAAATTGAGTCATAACAACTACAATGTAATTGCAGATTATTTATATTTGCATATCAAATTTGTACATATCCTTTCAATTTAAGATCGAGTAAATTTTATAAAATTTTATAATGATAGTAATTTTAAATGATTTACTTTGAAAGATCGTGTGAAATTGGAAACTGAAATGATGAATAGTCATGCATGTGAATCAACATTTCATTTTCTGTTTTACTTAATGTAGGATATCAAATTAAATGTTAAATAAACTTTCTCTGAATATGAAATATCAAAATAAAATTAATACCGTTCAATAGCATGATATGATAGCGTAATATTATCTAAGTTTTAAAAGAAAGATCCTGTTTATGATTTGAAACGTGAATCATTGCAATTTACAACAGATTTAACCACATCTCCAAAATAGTTCTTATTAACACTTTTTAGGACATACATGTACAGCAAATGTTGAAAATTTACCGAATGGACGTTCTAATGACAAGACATTCCTTGTTTCTTATTTGAGTGGAATAAATAATCTGATTTTATTATAAGCTACTAAAATAACAATGTTTCATATTTTAATGTCACGTATTGATGTCATTAAATCATAAAAAATAAAGGCTCAATCACATGATCCTTAATCTTGATCCTTTGAAGCTTCACCACATTTCGCAACTTTTCGGCCTTTTTCGTAAAACTTCGAATAGAATATACGAATAAAAATCTGTTACTGTTAATCGGCCAAGTGCCTTACTTTGAAAAAACAATCGTAATGACTCAGTTTTACTTAGCATGAAGATTGAATTGAAGTCGCTCGAGGTGTTCCGAATGTTTGAAAGTTTCCCGTTACTAATGAGTATTCGGTGATGTTTTGATTTAAAGGTAGACATTAACACGCAGCGTTGTGACGTCACAGAAGAAGTTGACGTTACTCATTACTCATAGCAACGTCATATTGCGTCCGGAAAAAATACACCAGTTGTTTTTAAACCATTAAAACATGGGAAATTAATGGCTAGTGAAAATCGAGGCTGTTTCGTTTGGCTCATAAGTTTAAAGAAGTCTTGCAACGAAAGGGTGAGTAGAATTATGGTATTAAAACATTCAATTTAGATGATTAAATTAGAGCTTTTGTGCTTAATTTAGGGAAGCACGAATAACTTTGGTAAATTTAAAGCTTTATGCCCGCAGATGAGCCAAAATATTTCAAGAAAATAAAACTTGGAAATAATGCACTGAGATTTTAAGAAAAAAAGTTAAAGAGCTCAAGGATGATAATTATAATAATAACAAATAAAAAAAGTGATAAAAATAATAATAATGATAATGTAATAATGATAATAATATTGATGATGATGATGATGACTGTTGTTATTATCATCATTATTATTATCATTATTATTATTATTATTATTATTATTATTATTATTATTATTATTATTATTATTATTATTATTATTATTATTATCATCATCATTATTATTATTATTATTATTATTATTATTATTATTATTATTATTATTATTATTATTATTATCATCATCATCATCATCATCATCATCATCATCATCATCATTATTATTATTATTATTATTATTATTATTATTATTATTATTATTATTATTATTATTATTATTATTATTATTATTATTATTATTATTATTATTATTATTATTATTATCATTATTATTATTATTATTATTATTATTATTATTATTATTATTATTATTATTATTATTATTATTATTATTATTATTATTATTATTATTATTATTATTATTATTATTATTATTATTATTATTATTATTATCATCATCATTATTATTATTATTATTATTATTATTATTATTATTATTATTATTATTATTATTATTATTATTATTATCATTATTATTATTATTATTATTATCATCATCATCATCATCATTATTATTATTATTATTATTATTATTATTATTATTATTATTATTATTATTATCATTATTATTATTATTATTATTATTATTATTATTATTATTATTATTATTATTATTATTATTATTATTATTATTATTATTATTATTATTATTATTATTATTATTATTATCATTATTATTATTATTATCATTATCATTATTATTATTATTATTATCATTATTATTATTATTATTATTATTATTATTATTATTATTATTATTATCATTATTATCATTATTATTATTATTATTATTATTATTATTATTATTATTATTATTATTATGGTAGTTATGATTAAATGATAAAAGATGATAAATAATAATTGATTAAATAGTAAATGAAAAGATAATTATAAGATTTTAATGATTCTTAAAGATCCATACATAAGCAGTGTTGGTAATGTTCTAGAGGAAATAATAAGTTCTTCTTTGATTTAAAAGTCGTAAAAAGTAGCAAAAAAATGATTAACTTAGTACATGTAGTTAGATTATTTAACTGGTGGCGGCTATGTTCAGACTTTACCCATGTGATCAGTGCAGACCAAGATTAGTCGGCACAATCGTCTTCACTGTTTGTTATTCAGTCAGTCAACAGTGAACGATATACCAGTCTATTTAAGACATCAGCATGATTTTACTTGTAAGGTACATTGTCTCTTTAACAGTTTGCAAGATTTCGAAACCGCATGCGCCAAAGATACTATGCAAGAAGAGGCAAGACTCTTGACCCAGAAACCCTGTTAAATGAAACAGGTACTGCCGACATGGTTGTCTGTAAGATTGCCAACAAGTCAAACAAAGTCATTCCTCAAAACCTGTCATCTAAGAATGGTATAGTTACTTGTTTTACAGTTGTACATTATGCTTTCTAAAACAATTCTTGCTGCAATGTATTCACAAAGTTTAGTGCAGTAATATTTGTTTGGCAAGAATTTTGAATCACTTAGTATTATGTTAATTAGCCGACTTATGTTCAAGAAAGATTGTATAAAAAGGGTCAAAAATGGCAAAATTAAGTCCCATAATAAACCATTTCTTTTAACTTAATACTAGAACTTCAAAAAACCTATAGTAGAAATAAATAAGAAGATTAAGTTATGGATCTTTTCCATGTCTGTCTTTTTTGTTAATTCTATCAAATATACGAATAACTATGAAACTAAGATTAACTTTAATAAGTTCTAGTATAAAAGTCTGGTAACATATTCTTTTCCAGACGATGCAGAAAATACAACAGAGACAGAGATCACAGCAGATGACAGACTTGGTAATACAGTCATGTATTTTTGCTTTATTTCACAAAATTTAAAAAATCCAAAAGTGAGAATGAAAAAAAAAAGATCATTCAAAGATCATTCAAAATTTCGTCAGAGCGCTGAAAAAGACCATTTTTAACTCATAAAGGCGGCATTATAGTCTATATAGCACACAGGAGATTTTGTTTCATGTTGCATTCATTATCGAAATAGATACTTAAAAAAAAAAGATCGTCACATTCAAAACCATACTGATTCAATGTAAGACTACAACAACATTTTGTTCAACTTTGTTTTCATTTACCTCTATAACAAATTATTCACTTTCCCATAATTCTCTCTCCCTGGAGATCCAATACTAGTATTACAACATAATATAATCGTGTTTTCTTGTGTTGTTTTCTTTCAAGGGAAGAATTTATGTATTCATTTCTGAGACACAATGTGCCTTTAAGTAATGCCGTATTGTGTGTAACTATGTCTAAATTATATTTAATAAAGCGTAAAGTTAAAAATCTTCTTTTAGTTGCAGAATACGTGACATGCATCATAAACAAGGCAGCCGACACTCTGAGACAGGAGTTGCCTAGCAACACAACATCCGTAACAGTGAAGCCAGCAGACGACAACATATCATTGTCCTCTAGTATCATCAGCCGTAAGTGATTTTGTTGATGCATAATTCAAATGTAGTATAGGAAGGGCGTGGGAAGTGTGCCTATTTATTACATTTTGCCTGTCACACCAATGCCAGCTAAATGCAGTGGTTATGTTTTTGCGCCAAAGTAGCCGTGAATAAATTCATATCTTGTACCTTCTAGCAGGAACTTTACTTGGGGTTTTGAAAATCTTAAAAATCTCCTCTGTTTCAACGTACTGTTGTCCGTTGAAGAACGTGTCGAGTGCACAAAACATTAAGTTTTCTTTTATATTTTTGATGTACTGTACATTTATATCATATTTCCTACGCATACTTGTACATATGACATGAACAACGTGCCTCTATCCTTATTGTCAAATCAAAGGCATTTTAAAGATATAGTTATTAGATTATTTCTAAGAGAGCTCATTAATTTTATATTTAGTAACCATTAGTGTAAAGGGCAGATAATCTAGTCTCAAATCTGACGTGGCATTTCTCGGCAATTAATTACATGACATAATTATTTACTTGACAGAAATTGCTGACATGGCTGTAACTGAGAGCTTGTCAAATATTGTGATGGATGCCGACATCAACCAGTCTGCTATTAGAGCTCACAGAACTGTCAAAGAATTCAAGGGTAAGAATTTTTGTTTAAAGGGACTCCTCTGAGATTTTTTAACATGACGGGACTGAAAAATTTTTTTTTGAGATTAATGTTGTTCAATGTAGGTGTAGCTACACCATATATATGTGTACAAAATTTCACATTATTCGCTCACTTCGTTTTTACAGAATAATTATTCTACTTTTTGAAAAATGACAAAAATTGAAAAAAATGCCCTCAATTTTTTTTCCGTTAAATGAAAATTGAACCCCAAGATAATCAAAGCAATCTACGATCTCAAGTAGTTTACCCTCAAACTGTAGTGGATTAATATTATTCACAAAAGTTATTGATACATTGCACTCATGGAATGATTATTCTTACAGAAGCATTTGGCATAACCGGATATGACTTCATTGATGACGGTCTTCCACCTGTAAGCGTGTAAGGTAAGATTCAGAAATATTATTTGTATTAAATCTAATGTTGAAATAGTTGGAAATGTTAAAGTAAGGACACTGCGTTATGCATTCTGCAATATTATTTTAAAAATAAACAAAACCTAAATAATGTCAGAATCTGCATTTAAACGTCGTACTATATACATGTTTGTCCATTGTCGTTACCATAGTGACTTGAATTAGGCTTCTACCCTCGCTCTAAAGATCAAGGGACATAATTATAGTTGAACTATTCGGTAACGGATACTCTCTGAGCATGTCTTAAAATATACAACATTAAATAAACAAGTTATCCTGATTGTTTCTTAAAAGAAAACCCTTTGTTACTACATTTTTTTTCTTAATTTCAGAGTGCAAGAAGAAGAAAGAAACAACGTGTGTGTGTTTTTGTTTGTTTGTTTTGTTGTTATTTGTTGTTGTTGTTCGTTGCTGTTTTGTTTTGTTAATTTGTATGTGCTTTTTTTCTTTTTCTTTTTTGCTTTGCTTGTTTGTTTTACGTTTGTTTTTCATGTTCTGCTTAGGCATCGATTTTATTTTTAACATGTTCTATTGTCATAAAAATGTTTCTGAATTTTATTTTCTGTAATAAAGTCCATTGAAACATTCTCTCGTGTATTACTTTCGTGTATTTTTCGATATCAAATGAGTGTAAATTCGATTGAACTGTTTCAGAAGCAGCCGACCTCACTTCACTTTCAGCCTCAGTTAGAAAAATATATCTTTGCCATAGAATTCCTTTCTTTATGGCCTTTGAGTGGTTTTGATTATACACAATTATTTATATATATAATGAGGATTGTTGACACACAGGCGTGTGCATGAATTTATTAAGACTTTTGCTGTTCTAAACTTAACACAAAAAGTTCTAATGAATCGTGTAAAATCTGAATATAAACAAGCGTTTGAAAGATGCTTGTTTCATGTTGTTAAGCATTGATAGAAAAGCATTTAAGTAATGGATACACAACCCTACTAAACAGGTCTCTCTTTCACATTTTTGTGATCTGTATAAATAAGAGCCCTCGGCCAATCCAAAGCTTTAAAATGTAAACACAGTGTTTAAAAATATCCGTCTTTAAAGAATATGCGTGTCTTTCAAAAATCTGAGAATGCTTAATGTCGCTCCTGAAACATTTATCAAATATAAGCTTGTTTGTTTTCATTTACATACAGAGGAGGTTGACACTTCTTTGGGTAAAGGCCACACTTATTTATTATGCATGAATCTCAAAATTCCGTGTCCGCTTTGTATCTTTTTCAACCGACTGAAAGAATTCTAATAACAAGTTGAGAAACTGATAGCGAACAGCATGGATCCTGATCAGACTGCGCGGATGCGCAGGCTGGTCTGGATAAACCCATTATGTTGGTTTTGTCATGGCACGGCTCATATGTTAACATTATAAAATGCATGATAGCCATTTCTAAAGAAATATTTTGCTAAATTCGAAAAAATGTTTAATAAATAGCCAGAATAGTTATTGATGTCTATTTTCAAGATGACAGTTGTGTCATTGTATGTTATGTTAACACAATTGGAGCAGCGAAATCTCGGTACAAGGTTCACTCGGTCATATACTGGCATGCGAGCAGTTCTCGTACAAAAATCATAGTTACTTAAACATTATTTTTTATTACGCTCACTCACCAAAATTTGAATTTTACACATCGATGTCGGCTCGTCACACAAATCATGGAAATTCCATCATGTTCTAAACATAGAATAACCCTTACTTATGAGGCCTCATATAGGGTACCGAAATTATCCATTATTTTGTATGAAGAGAAGTAGTTCCCGCACATAAAATCTAACCCATTATAATTATACAATTTTATTATATCGGACCTATTTTTCATTTACAATTGTTGAACAGACCATTATCTAAGAGATAAATAGATGTAATTCAGGAAATAGAGCGTAGACTAAACGCGGGTATCTATTACCCGGTACCGTTACCCCAACGCATTCACATGCAATAGCATGCTTGTATGCATGATATTTTACGCATCAAAGCCATAAAATTATTTCATATAGTAATATTGGTCAAAATTCTGATTATTAAACAAGTTTTCATCACATTGCCTACTTATCTGTAAACAGGTGGTATTAGTGGAAAACCCTTTAACAAGCCTCAAGTGTAAGTATTTTTGCGCATGCGCGCAAGGACGGAATCCCCCCGAGAAAACAAGGTCACGTTTTGACGACGCACAGGTGAAAGATTTAAAATGAGACTTTTTATACGTACTGCCGAACTGACACTTAGATTTTGTCTCGTTTATGTATCTGCTTGATTTGAAATGAATTTTTGAAGAATGCAAGTAAAAATCAAGCGTTTAAATGAAAAATACGGGTACTGCTTCTGTACGGAAACTGCTCGCATGCCAGTATAGTGCTTGGTGATGTTTTACTGTTACTGTTTTTCGAAACATGAAATAGCAAAACGCTATTCAGAAAAAAATAATTAATTTATACAATTTAGAGAAATAAAAGGAATAAACCACTGTCCGTAGTGTTAAAGTAGTGTAAATGATATTTTCCAATTTTTCCTTGTACCGACTTGTTCATCTCGATGTTTATATTTCGTTTAAGTAATGTCGTATTTTGGTGCGGAGTATGCGCATAACATTTTTTTTGACTGGATCTAGTGTTTTAGGCTTTAAATGAGATACGTTAACTTCAAATTTGATACCAAAAATGGATGCCGCCAGTAATCCTTCTCAACACTGTGGAGAGGAGGTCTGATGAGTGATGACCTCTCTAATAACGCTCGCCAAATACCATTTCCGGAAGATAGAGTTATTTTTTATAATAGTACATATTGAGTAATAGCAACTACAGTGTAATTGCAGATTATTTATTTCTGCCAATCAAATGTGTACATATACTTTCAATTTGATATCGCGTAAATTTTATAAAATTTTATAATGATAGTTATTTTAAATGATTTACTTTGAAAGATCGTGTGAAATTGGAAACTGAAATGATGAATAGTCATGCATGTGAATCAACATTTCATTTTCTGTTTTACTTAATGTAGGGTATCAAATAAAATGTCAAATAAACTTTCTCTGAATATGAAATATCATAACAAATACCGTTCAATAGAATGATATGATAACGTAATTTTAAGTTTTAAAAGAAAGATCCTGTTTATGATTTGAAACGTGAATCATTACAACAGTTTTAACTACATCTCCAAAATAGTTCTTATTAACACTTTTTAGGACATACATGTACAGCAGAATGTTGAAAATTTACCGAAGACATTCCTTGTTTCTGATTTGAGTGAACTACTAAAATAACAATGTTTCGTCACGTGATGATGTCATTAGATCATTAAAAAATAAAGGCTCAATCACATGATCCTTAAAATATGAAATTGGTCTTGATCCTTTGAAGCTTCACCACAATTCGCAACTTTTCGGCCTTTTTCGTAAAACTTCGAATAGAATATACGAATAAAAATCTGTTACTGTTAATCGGCCAAGTGCCTTACTTTGAAAAAACAATCGTAATGACTCAGTTTTACTTAGCATGAATATTGAATTGAAGTCGCTCGAGGTGTTCCGAATGTTTGAAAGTTTCCCGTTACTAATGAGTATTCGGTGATGTTTTGATTTAAAGGTAGACATTAAAACGCAGTGTTGTGACGTCACAGAAGAAGTTGACGTTACTCATTACGCATAGCAACGTCATATTGCGTCCGGAAAAAAAATACACCAGTTGTTTTTAAACCATTAAAACATGGGAAATTAATGGCTAGTGAAAATCGAGGCTGTTTCGTTTGGCTCATACCCAGCAAACACATGACGTTAAAATAACGTCGGATTAATGTTAGATTTTGGTCACGACGTCGGCGACCAAAATACGACGTAAATCTGACGTTAAAATACCGATGTCTAATAGAGGTTTCTTTTTGACGTCGTACAAACGTTAGGTTCTGGTCGGTGTCCTGACGGTAGGTAAAAAAATAACAAAAAATAATCCTTATTCGCTGTTGTAATCATTTCAACTTTTTTTCAAATGTTATTTGGATTACAAATGAAGTGTTCTTATATAAATACAGACCAAGATCGCGGCGCTGCAACCTAATAAAACATATAGGTGGCGCTGTATATAGGCAAGTTACGTGTGTTATTGTTATGAAATCTATTTATAGCTACAGATCTGTTTACAAGTTCCAATCATTTAACGTTATAATATTATCATTGGTGGTACATTATATTTTAATAGTGCTTTAACATTTAATCATAGTGACAGAAAGGGGAAAGAAAACATAATTAACCTATAATTCGAATCTAAAGTCACGTGGATGGAAATTCAAATTCGTAGGCGTTACGTTTTGGCTGTCGGTCAGGAATCGGGATGCATTGATAATGTGTATATTATAGATTTTCTTGAACAAAAAGGTCAGTTCAATTTATTTAGATTTATTTTTACTTTGTATTTGATAAATAATTGCATGATTGCAAGCACTCTTAAATTTAATTATCATTATTTGAACAGCTGAAGTAAAATGTCACACAAATTCGCGATAATGTCTAATAATAAATCTTTTTAAAATTGACATGTTAAATAACTCTGCTTGTGAAGAGTTTATAATATGCCTTTCAGTACCACCAAAGAGAATGCTTAGTTTTCATATTTTTCTTAAACCGTGATGTTTTTGTCAGTTAAAATCTGAGAATTGAGAATGAATTTGTACGATTTCGAGCATTTCGGACCAAGACGTTTCGGTCCCAAATAACCCAAAACGTTCCGGTCCCAAATAACCCAAGACGTTTTGGTTCCAGACATTTCGGCATTAAATCTTTAATTTAAAACTATGAAATATTTAAGACTTGCGTAACTGTTCTATTTCAAACGTAGAATATATACATAAGTTAGAATATAATTTTCTTTTCAGGTAGTTAAAGTGTTGGACATGCTCTCAAAGGTCGGAGGGACGGAAACACGTGAATATGTAAAAAGAAACATAGGAAAGTAAGATTTTTTGTAAATTCTATTACATACTTTAATCCATACTAAACTGGAGTTTAAAAGCGGCTTTTTAAATGTTCAGTATTTATGTTTACTTTTAATTTTTGTTAAAGCTCTCTTTATAAAAAGTTGGCAAAATTGTTCATTAAGTTAAGATAACTATGAAAACATTTTTGCTTGTTATTTTTCCATGTTTCATAATATTTTTTTTCAGTGAAAAAGATGTCACACACGCTATTGGACACTACAAACGCTACATATCCTCCGGACAGACGAGGGGTGCTGAAAGAAGGTCATATCTAAAGCACCACACCTCAAAATTCGTGCTAATTCTCATTGATATCTAAAAAGTATAACTTTGTGAAGTAACTAAAAGGCAGCAATTTATACATTACTGAACAATTATCAAAGGAGGTCAAAATATGCAAAATGGCACTAAATGTTTTAGAAATGCTGTAGAAATATAGTTAAAATACTGAAAATCTGTCATTAATTGCTTGAAACATTATTATCAGAATCTTTTAACTTTTTCTTAAAATTATAATAGTTTCATTCATTTTATTTGATAAGGCAAACTTTAATAGAAATGTGCATACATTGTTTTGTTCTTTAATATTTGTACATGTTTTCTTAGTTTCATTTATGTCATTGTTTTTGTAATACTTTTTGTTTTGTAATTAAATTATTTTATGTTTTATTTTGTTTAATTTATGAAAATTATTTAGCCTTGCAGAATTTACTAAAATTGTATGTATCAGCTTAAAATTGCAACTTTTATTTTAAATTAAAAAAGCATAAAACATAATTTTGCTTTTAGTTTTCTGTTATACATTTCATTGGAGGGAAAGTTACTTAATAGAATGAGTTACATTAAATTCGATCAAATCATGATTAGCCAGAAAATATTTATGACGTGGTGAAACAAAAAAGATTAGGGGAATGATCAGATGAAGGTCAGAAAATGATCAGATTTAGGGCAGAAAAGGGTTAATATTTAGGTCGGAAAATGGTCAGATTGAGATCGGAAAATGGTTAGAAACTGGTTAGGTTTAGGTCGGAAAATGGTCAGATTGAGGTCGGAAAATGGTTAGATAATGGTCAGATTTTGGTCAGAAAAAGGTTAAATAATGGTTAGATTCTGACGTCTACCTGACGTCAGATTATTACGTCAAAAAAACTTTCAAATCCAACCGTTTTTCCGACCGTCATCCGACGTCAGAACCTGACTTAAATCTGACGTCAGTATGACGTCTTGTGTTTGCTGGGTAAGTTTAAAGAAGTCTTGCAACGAAAGGGTGAGTAGAGTTATGGTATTAAACATTCAATTTAGATGATTAAATTAGAGCTTTTGTGCATAATTTAGGGAAGCACGAATTACTTTGGTAAATTTAAAACTTTATCACACACCCGTGCCGATTTTGCGACTCCGTAAATATGGTATTGCACGGCCGTGCATATATTTTGACGTGACGTCATTAGCGTTAAACAAACATAGTGTAAAGACGCGCTAAATGTTAGCGTTATACTATAGACGCGTCAATGAAAAATGACTCTTATTTCACTTTAAACGGTCTTTATTTTGGGTATGTGATAAATAGAATATTAAATTCGTGTAAGTTCATTACTGAATTTATTGCACTCGTTGAATAAAATAATATTATGCTCGCCAGAGGCTCGCATAATATAATTTTATTCAACTCGTGCAATAAATTCAGTATTGAACTTACACTCATTCAATATCCTCTATTTATGCCTCCAGATGAGCCGAAATATTTCAAGAAAATAAAACTTGAAAATAATGCGCTGAGAATTTAAGAAAATAAGTTAAAGAGCTCTAGGATGATAATTATAATAATAACAAATAAAAAAGTGATAAAAATAATAATTATGATAATGTGATTATGATAATAATATTGTTTATGGTGATGATGATGATGATGATGCTGATGATTATCATCATCATCATCATCAATGATTATTATTATTATTATGGTAATAATGATTAAATGATAAAAGATGATAAATAATAATTGATTAAATAGTAAATGAAAAGATAATTCTAAGATTTTAAATAATGATTCTTAAAGATCCATACATAAGCAGCGTTGGTAATGTTCTAGAGGAAATAATAAGTTCTTATTTGTTAAAAGTCGTAAAAAGTAACAAAAAATTGATTAACTTAACTGGCGGCTATGTACAGACTTAACCCATGTGATCAGTGCAGATCAAGATTAGTTGGCACAATCGTCTTCACTGTTTGTTATTCAGTCAGTCAAAAGTGAACGATATACCAGTCTATATAAGACATCAACATGATTTTACTAGTAAGGTACATTGACTCTTTTACAGTTTGCAAGATTTCGAAACCGCATGCGCCAAAGATACTATGCAAGAAGAGGCAAGACTCTTGACCCAGAAACCCTGTTAAATGAAACAGGTACTGCCGACATGGTCGTCTGTAAGATTGCCAGCAAGTCAAACAAAGTCGTTCCTCAAAACCTGTCATCTAAGAATGGTATAGTTACTTACTTGTACATTATGTTTTTAAAACAATTATGACTGCTATATACTCACAACTTTTAGTGCAGTTATATTTGTTCCACAAGAATTATGAAGGTCTTGCTTTTGTGTGAATCAGCCTACTTATGTACAAGAAAGATAGTATAAAAAGATCAAAATGGCAGAATTTAGTCCCGTAATAGACAATTTCTTTTTCTGAAACTTCAAAAACCTATATTAGATATAAAATACCGAACACTAAGTTTTAGGATCATTTTCGTATGTCTGTCTTTGATTACATTAATTCTATTAATTTACAAATAAAAATGAAGCAAAATTCTTTTTCAGACGATAATGTTGATACAGAAAATACAACAGTGACAGAGATCATTGCAAACGACAAGACCACAGCAGACGACAAACTTGGTAAATACAGTCATGTATATTTTTTACTTTTTTACAATTTCAGTATTTATGTTTAATATTTAAAAAGTAAAAAAAAAGATCTTTCAAAATTTGGTCACATGCAGCTCATAAAAAACGTTAAAGTATTATATAGCTAACAAGAGATTTTGTGTAAAGTCGCATTCATTATCTAAATTTAATGTACATATATTTTAATTAAAATTTGATCGTCACATTTAATACCATACTGATACTATGTATATAAAGCCACAACATCAACAACAATAACTCCTATTTAAGGCCCGAAAAAAGTTTTATTTTCTATTTTTTAGAAGCTTTTATCTTATGTATCTTTTTCACAGTGTTAATTTGCCATATAGCTGAGTTATCCTTTACATTTTGCATTTTGGCTATTAGTACAGTTAAAATAATTAAGTATTTTGTACGGAAGACAAAATTCCGCTTTGTTTTCATTTAGCTACCTCTATAACATTTAATTTCACTACCCATAATACTGTCTGTCTCCCTCTGAGTGTTAAATATCTAACCTGCTTTTTAAATATCCAATATTGCAACATATTATAATCATAAAGAAGAAATTATTTATTCATTTTTGAGACACAATGTGCCTTTAAGTAATGCCGTATTGTGTGACACTATGTCTAAATTACATTAAATAAAGCGTAACGAAATTAAAAATCTTTTTTTAGTCGCAGAGTACGTGACATGCATCATAAACAAGGCAGCCGACACCCTGAGACAGGAGTTGTCTAACAACACAATTCCCGTAACAGTGAGTCCAGCAGACGACAACATATCATTGTCCTCTAGTATCATCAGCCGTAAGTCATTTTGTTGATGTATAAGTCAATTATAACAATGTCCGTGGTAGGAGGGGTGTGGGAAGTGTGCCTATTTATTACATTTTGCCTGTCATCCCACTGCCAGCTCAATGCAGTGGTTATGTTTTTGCGCTATTTAAAATGTCCGGAAATAAGTCCACGACACAGCGACATGCGACTTTTACCTTCTAGCGGGACCTTTACTTGGGGTTTGAAAATCTTAAAAGTCTCCGCTGTTTCTACGCATTGTTGTCCGTTGAAGAACGTGTCGAGTGCACAATACATAAAGTGTTCTTTGTTATTTTTGATGTTTATTATATCATATTCTTACGCATTATTGTACATATGACATGGATCCTGAACAACGTGCCTCTACCCTTTTACGAAACCTTATTGTCAAATCAAAGGCATTTTAAAGAAAAAGTTCTTAGATTATTTCTAAGAGAGCTCATTTATATTTAGTAACCATTAGTGTAAGGGGCAGATAATCTAGTCTAAAATCTGACGTGGCATTTCTCGGCAATTAATTACATGACATAATTATTTACTTGACAGAAATTGCTGATATGGCTGTAACTGAGAGCTTGTCAAATATTGTGATGGATGCTGACATCAACCAGTCTGCTACTAGAGCTCCTAGAACTGTCAAAGAATTCAAGGGTAAGATTTTTGTTTAAAGGGACTCCTCTGAGAGGGACTGGAAAAGATTTTTCGAGATTAATGTTGTTCAATGTAGGTGTAGCTACACCATATATATGTGTGCAAAATTTCACATTATTCGCTCACTCCATTTTTACAGAATAATTATTCTACTTTTGAATAATGACAAAAATTGAAAAAAAAGAAATGCCCTCAATTTTTTTTTTCCGTTAAATGAAAATTGAACCCCAAGATAATCAAAACAATCTACGATCTCAAGTAGTTTACCCTCACACTGTAGTGGATTAATCTTATTCACAAAAGTTATTGATACATTGCACTCATGGAATATTTTTTTTTACAGAAGCATTTGGCATAACCGGATATGACGTCATTGATGACGGTCTTCCACCTGTAAGCGTGTAAGGTAAGATTCAGAAATATTATTTGTATTAAATCTAGTGTTTAAATAGTTGGAAATGTTAAAGTAAGGACACTACGGTATGCCTTCTGCAATATTATTATAAAAATAAACAAAACATTACTAATGTCAGAACCTGAATTTAAACGTCGTACTTTGTACGTGTATGTCCATTGCCGTTACCATAGTGACTGGAATTAGGCTTCTACCATCGCTCTCAAGATCAAGGGACATAATTATAGTTGAACTATTCGGTAACGGATACTCACTGAGCATGCCTTAAAATATACAAAATTAATTAAATAAATAGGTTACCCTGATTGTTTCTTAAGAGAAAACCCTTTGTTACTAGATCTAGATCTACACGTTTTTTCTTAAATTTCAGAGTACAAGAAGAAGAAAGAAACAACGTGTGTGTGTGTGTTTTTTTTTGTTTGTTTGTTTTGTTGTTGTTGTTTGTTGCTGTTTTGTTTTATTAATTTGTATGTGCTTTTTTCCTTTTTCTTTTTTGCTTTGCTTGTTCGTTTTACGTTTGTTTTTCATGTTCTGCTTAGGCATCGATTTGATTTCAAACATATTTTATTGTCATAAAGATGTTTCTGAATTTTATTTTCACAAATAAAGTCTATCGAAACATTATCTCGTGTATTATTTTTGTGTATTATTCGACATCAAATGAGTGTAAATTCGATCGAACTGTTTCAGAAGCAGCCGACCTCTCTTCACTTTCAGCCTCAGTTAGAAAAATATCTTTGCCATAGAATTCCTTTCTTTATGGCCTTTGAGTGGTTTTGATTATACACAATTATTTATATATATAATGAGGATTGTATACACACAGGCGTGTGCATGAATTTATTTAGAGTTTTGCTGTTCTAAACTTTACACAAACAATTCTAATGAATCGTGTAAAGTCTGAATATAAACAAGCGTTTGAAAGATGTTTGTTTTTGATGCTGTTGAACAAAATCAGAGTTTGAAAGATTTTTGTTTTATGCTGTTAACCATTGATAGAAAAGCATTTAAGTAATGGATACACAACCCTACTAAACAGGTCTTTGTGATCTGTATAAATAAGAGCCCTCGGCCAATCCAAAGCTTTAAAATGTAAACACAGTGTTTAAAAATATCCGTCTTTAAAGAATATGCGTGTCTTTCAAAAATCTGAGAATGCTTAATGTCGCTCCTGGAACATTTATCAAATATAACCTTGTTTGTTTTCATTTACATACAGAGGAGGTTGACACTTCTTTGGGTAAAGGTCACAGTTACTATGTATTCATTATGCATGGATCTCAAAATTTCGTGTCCGCTTTGTATCTTTTTGAACCGACTGAAAGAATTCTAATCCATTCGGAAGGAATATTGACAGTAATTAGACGATGTGCAGAACGTAGGTTTGGGCTTCCTCAGATGATTGCTCGAGTATTGGGAACGACAGATCTTATCTGTTATAGTGTTATGATTGACTACTTTTGTACAGCACTACCTTTCATGAGTTTGTTTCTGTCATTTTGCTCGTCTGTTGGGTTTGGATATTAAATAGAGAAAAACAGAATACCTAAAGAAAGTCCAACACAACAAAATTGAAAATGTTGCAGGCTCGGTTTGATTGAGCCTGTTCATGGACTGTACTGGAAAGTGAAAGTTACCGTCCACGCCCCCTAGCACCGGCTTAAGCAGAATTCAACATTTAATACGAAAATGGTGAACTTTTGTATTTAGAAACATCCGCAGACGTGTTCATACGGCGGTAATCGTGGAACCTTCAATGTGACACAGTAGTGCCATTCCATGAAAAGCGGCGTATGGTCCCCAAGTAAAAGAATGCTTTTGTCCTAAACGAGAAAACAATGGGCGGAACTAAATAAAATGGAATTTTGAAAGGGGATCTGAGGTTATAAAGCCACACTGACATTTTAAAGGTCTTATGGCGACCTTCAGCTTTACTGGTGGAGGAAGACCTCAGTTGCCACTATAATAGTTAAGGCACAAGCGGGCATTCGATCAGAACCATCGAAATATTGCAAGGTAGTTGAGTGGCTTCCTAATAAGAAATAATTAAATGTACCTGTCGGGTATCGAAATCGCAGCGGTGATTGGCAAGTGGTTTGAAATGAACGGCCTAATCACTCGGAATTGAACGCCCTTATCATGCATGATATGTAAGATGCAATACTTAACTTTTTCACAATGCCCTCGGACCAGCCATCTGAACCATCACATCTGTACTTTCCAAATTTGTGTGTATTTGCGTTTATTTATACTCGCCACCGGTTGCCCATATGGGCGAGCCCTCCAGAAGAGTATTAGTCATTTTATTTTTCGGAGGATAGTGCAATTACAGATACAGAAAGATGCCCCAATTCCAGAAGCTTCTCCTGGTTCTTTAGCGTGCCAAGTGTTTAAGCACCCATACACGGGACCTCGATTTAAAGTCTCATCCGAAAGACTGATTAGTAATTTTAGTTGGCCAGCCCGGGAATCGAACTCACAATGTCGAGATTACAAGTCTCGCGCTCTAACCGATTGAGCTATGCGGGCTGGCTTGACTTTCCAAATGACAAGTACCACAGTATATAAACGATTTGAACCCCAACCGGATCTTGTGAGAAGATTTTAGTGTCAGCCATATTCTGCCACTTCACTTGTTTACGATATTGGTATTTATATTGATACTGATGGACGTTAGGATAGTAAATCTATATCTATATTATAAGAGAGAAACTTTATTAAACGTCTAAGTTATGCAAAACATAAACGTTAGCACGAAGGCTATAAAATAATCGAAACTCACGAACAGCTTTCAGGTGATCAACACTGAACATGAACAAAAATCTGTCTTATTCCAAGGTTGATTTAAATAAACATTGAATTGTAATATCGAACTACTAAAGTAATCAATAACAAACGATAATTTAGTCATATGCATAACATATTGCTGTATCTTGAACATAAATTTAAGAGTTTTACCAAGGAGGTCATTTCCGTAAACTGAATTAACGTTACTTGCTGGTGATTATGAACCCTACTTGTGAGTTTACGAATTTTATCTGTACACTGACTTGTGAGTATTTTTAAAGATTTATTGGAGAAAAAGTTTACGTTCATTGCGATTTTGTATCAATTATTGCCAGAAAATATAAATGATTGTAATAGAATTTTAGTATATAAGGTGGGATCTAAGGTATTTACCGAGAATTGGTTTAACTGATAATATTGTTAATCATTTGTTTAATAAAATATATAATGCTATGTATATTTTTATTTCGGATCACCATGGAAGAATACAACTGCATATACTGTTGAGTAAAGACTACGAATTTCAATGCCATCATTAGCCACATTATTATTCGCCATCCAGACTGCAGCTTGAAAATAAGAATAAATAATGATCAGAATAAAATTTCCTACTTAGAAAATTTCAGCGTCACAACCAATAACGTAAACGAAAAAAAAAAAGAAGTTTATAACACCAATAGCTGAAACACTGACAATTAAAATTTCAAAATTTCCCGAATATTCTCCGTTTAAAAAGATGCCAAAATTGTCGACGTCTATGAAAGATATACAAGAATAAAAGTTGCTAATGTCAGAAAAAGAAAGTCAATGAATTTCTGAGAATATAAAACAGTGTATGAAATCAACGGTAGGTGTAAAGCTTTCAACATGTTGAAATAAGTAATCTGCAAAAAAATCTTGTAATGATATTTCGGGGTTTATTGATACGTGACGTTATATAACGGTCACGTCAAAACTAACAACAATGCCGTTGAACTAAATATAAAAAAAATATAGTACATATGTAATATTTTAGCTTTATCTCTTTCCGAAGAAAAATGAATGGTAAGTGAAGATGAGGTTTGATAGTTAATTATTCCTATCAAGAAATAATTGACTTTCTGATTCGTATAAACAGCCACTTCATGCCAGTATTTTCGTAGACAGTGAAAACACGACGAAGCTCCTCCAGTCATATGCAGTTTTAGTTAATTACATAGAACTAAAACATGTACCCTTCTCTTGTGACACAATAACTTCATATTCTGCACAATAAAATTTGGAACATACGACAAAAGCACAATAAAAATCATCAAAAGTGACTCGCAAGTAATGGTTCAGTGAAAACACAAGTAGGGTACAGATCATTAAAATTGTTTTAGCAAGACGGGTACAGTTATCAGAAATGTCGCCTCTATTATTTACTATGTTTTATCAATATTCAAAGATATTTTCACAAGTGTCTGTCCGGTAACATGAGGTTAAGACAATAAAGTTAAGATTCAGATATGAGTTATAGTGAAATAAAACAATTTTAGGCATACATTTGCTTGTGTAATCGGCGTGTGTTGACATAAACAAAACATGAGACGAAGAGCTCATGCAGCGTTTTATGCGCACATATTTTACGAAGAAGGTTATGGATGTATATTTAAGCAAAGATAAATTATTTCTAAATATGATTCAAATGTTAACATACCGTAACATATTTAAATTCAAGCCGATTTTTGATAGTTTAATGTGTCATCCCGCCTGATTGTACGTTTAGATGCTGAAATCTTCTCACAAGATCCGGTTGGGGTTCAAATCGTTTATATACTGTGAGTACACATCAATGTTAAGCTTACGGTCTTCAGCGTACCCGTTTATACGTATCCCATGAATAACAAAAATGTAAAAAAGCGGCTTATAAAAAGTTTTGGTAAGGTTATACTGAAACGCTTTCTCTGAATATTTGATATTTGTTGTTTTCTGTTGTTTTTTTTTTTTTTTTTTTTTTTTTTTTTTTTGCAAGTGCATGATGGCTATCGACTCGAAAATAGTGTTCTGTTAGTGGTCAAAGGGAAATAACTGTTACTTTAAATTTCTGATAATGTCCGGTATGTACCGGATAACGGAGGAAAAACGAAATAGCTCTTCATAGTGGAGGTATTCCGCGAAATTTCAAGTTGGTTATTTTTTTAATATTATTTCCTTTTTCCTTCTTTTTTATGTTATATGATGAAATTGTCTGAATATTTCAACAGAGTAGCAAAATTTCTAAAAAAAAATGGATGCTTTATTAAAGCCTATTTTGTTGTACATGTAGTTAAATAAATAACTTTCTCAGTTTATAGGTCCACTGCACACTAGCAATTTAGTCAAAATATTTTGACGTGCCAAAGTTACATCAGTGTACATGTAGATTCTAAACTTCAGAATCTTGCTTCTCCCATTGATGGGAAATATTGCCAATACACAATATAGCACTATATGACCATAGTACAATTAGTTGGACTTTAAGAAAACTAATTCTATAATTCTAGTTTAAATTATATGGAGAGCTGACTGCATTAATTTTAGCAGGACCACATGCTTTGTGAGGTTTGAAATAATTCAGAAGTTTACCAGTGCCTATTTTACCTACTTGGATATCTGACTGTTTAAGACAAATCCCCCATTTAATAGTTTTATATTGGCCATTAACAGGGGCAGTTCTAGCCAGGGGTATATATAGGGTCTGACCCACAAGTGTCTGTTGGGGAAGTAAATTTAAATACACCCATAAACACTTTTGATATATACGTAAATAACAGAGGTATATCGAGTGAAAATTACGAGTTGTTTCCCTTATCTTCAAGTAAAATCGATATCTCTTAATCTTTTGACACAAAAGTATTTAAATTAACTGTTAAAAATACCATATGCGAGACCATATTTTACATATGATGTATACATTAAGATGTGCAACCGGTTTTTCTTTACTCGAAAAACTACTGATAAGGATATCCTGTTGTCTGCTAGTTGGGAAAGTGCTTATCAGTGTATTGATATATCCTAAAACTATATCAGAAAATTTTGTGTGGAAATTTGAAGTTTTTCTGTCAGAGACCTGTATTAATTACATGAAAAACAAAAAGAGAAAATTCAGGTCGATAAAAATTGTATAGATTTCAGAAATTTGTTAACATGTAAATTTGGCCATCATTGTTATGACAACTGTTTTTGAAGTACTGGTTATAAGCCGCTTTGACCCTTTTCCACATGAGAGGTAGCCTGGGTTCCAGTCTCATTGTCTGTCAATTTTTTTTATGGCCTGTTTGGCGAATACTATCAAAATGACGAACAAATACGGAATGGGGCATATGTTATGAATAACGAAAAAAAAATGTTATAAATAAGCAAAAACTATCAAAGCCTGAATCCCAGACTACATCAGAGGTTTCAAGTGAAGAAACTTTTTAAGATCATAAACAGACCTTGATTCTTAACCAATTTAAAGCCTGTTTTTTTCCCTCTTCTTCGGATCCTTCTCTAATTATTCAACATATATTACTTTTGTTTTGTTTAATGCAAAACTTGTACTAACTACTATTGTTATGCTTTCAATTCAACAAACACAGTGGAAGCAAATAAAGCTTAACAATGACAGAAAAAAGTCCTGCAAGGAAGTCCAGATCTTCAACCCCTATTATAGTAAATGGGTCAGTCATACAAAATGGAACGCCAAGCAGAGGTGGATTGCTCCATTTATCTCACAGGTTGGACAAAGACATCACACCAAAAACACCAGTAGCAGACGCAAGTTTCAGAAATGATGACAAAGTTAGCCCAATGCTTGCCAAGCTTAGGATGACTCCAGGTTTGTTTGTAGATACCTTTACTGGTAATATAATTCCACAGGTTGTTTTTTTTAAAGAAAAGGATAATTTACTTTTAGTTTCTGAATTGTTCTACTTTTGTGTATGTTTTTTCTCCTTGTAAATTTTACTATAATATGTTTTATAGCAGTTTTTAGAAACCTTGGGTTTGGTCAGCATACGTCACTCAACTGAATTTGATACATGCTATTTCATTCATGTTATATAAGCAGTGAAAAAGAAAATAAAGTAGAACAACATGCCAGAACACCGGAGTAGATTAAAGTTATTTAATTTATTGACCGTCTTATGTCAAACAATGACCTTCATCAGGACAATATAATTTCAGTATAAAGATTCAGTCCTTAGGTACACAAAAAATGTTATATTATTCAAATCTTTGTACCATTCTGTGTTTTCAATCTAAATAATCATAGTAATTAAACAAAGAAAAAACATCAATCAATCAATCATTCGCATGATATTATAAAGCCAGAAAATGTCAACAAACAGCGATGTGCCATTTAAAAATAAAGTACAATGCAGCTTGCCGACTATATTACATAAATAAGGTCTAAGCCTTAAAATTATCTTTATTTCCCTTCATGTGACCATGCCAGTTTGTGTAGAGTTGGTAGGTAGATAAAACATATTTTTTATCCAAATTATTTTTTTTTCTATCTAGAATTATCACGCATTCAAAACTAATTGTGAATCCTCAGCATATGTTTAAAGTTTAGAACCATATTTTCAAACTTTTATTCAACATTATACAGGTTTGAATACCTACAATTCAAAAACATGTGACAAATATAAAATCTGATTCTCATTCCGTGTTGAGCAAAAAAAAAAAAAAATTGCAAGGCAATAAAATTTTTTGGGTATAAGCGTTTTTTGTTGGTAGGTAGGAGAGGGGAAACAAACAATTATTTTATATTTAGGCGTAAGGTTGATAATGAACATTGTTTAATATTAAAAGTTAGTATGTTAAAATATCATAATCATGGCTGCCAATAAACAGTGAAAACAAAAATCATGGCGATAAAAGTGTCTTATATTATTATATACATAAACTGTATGATAAAAAGATCGTTAGGATCTTTGCAACCTCACCTCTGTGTATTAAATTTTAAATATGTCTTCTTTTGTTTTCAATTTCAATGCTTGATGAATCTGTACCATAGAATGTCATTATTCTCTACAGGAAGATTGTTAAAAGAAAAGCAGACAATTCTGGTACGGAAACATGAGGAAACACGGCGTAAAGTGGACAGTTTGAATGTCGGAGGAGGCGTGTCCATGTGGCCAGAGATGGACAGTATGAGAATGTCTAAAGAGGAAATCTACAAACTGTCTGGCTTTTGTCTGATAATGGTCATAGTTGTAATAGCAATTTTTATAGGTTTACATGGTAAGATACATATTTCCTTATTACCAATATTTATAAACAATGTGGAGTCTTTGTGACTGAGTGGTTAAAGTGACATTATATGCATGTTTTCTTGTTGTCAAGTTGAGCCGAATGGGCTATACATTTAACAGACTGACTATTATATTATTATGATAGACATTGAGCAAAACTTGATAATGAAAAATGTTTAGGATAAAAAATTACAACTGCCTAAAATATAAAATGACTTTCCTGCTATTTTTATCATTTGAATGTTAACATTACATTCCGATGCATATTTATAGATATTTCTGTGAGTCACTTGGGTTTTTAATTATGGAAGTATGGTCCAGTAAACATTTGTGCCAAGTTTCATTAGTATTGAAGCATTTTTCATAGTTCCATAACTTCCATAGCAGTTTGAACTTGTAACAGGAGGCTTTTCAATGAAAACGGCCATTTTTCAAAATATGCTGATGGGGTAAAAGAAAAGCAGACAATTCTGGTATGGAAACATGAGGAAACACGGCGTAAAGTGGACAGTTTGAATGTCGGAGGAGGCACTAGAAAAAAAAATTGAATGCAGTTACTGCAAAATCTAAAGCTATTTTGACTGACATCCACCAGCAATTTACATTTTGATAGGCATAATGATAATGTCTTTTTTGCTTACTTCAAATCAATTGTCCCACATGGCTTTGGGATGGTAATTCATCAGGGACGGGATTCTTTCATGTAAGGAAATTATTCAACAAGCTTACAGACAGAGTGTGGTGCTACTCCGGTACCCTTTCCTCCCTGTATATTGAGCAAAACCTGCCACTTAAAAAGTTTTTTTATGACCTTTCTAGTGTCTGTTTGCCTTAAAGTATTTATGAAATTATTTGTTTCCTGTTTCATGTCTAAAATATGGCTCCCTATTCATGTTTCAAGTAAGGATTAAAAAGGTATTATTTTTGGCTCTCTTTACAGGTTCAACTATATCCCTTCTGTTACAGTATCATAAAAGATTGAGCCAGTTCTCATTCCATCAAGTAATCATTGTTGACAGTGGACAAGCTGAAATGGACCATTCATTGATAGACTGGCATATTAAATACAAACAAATTGTGGTATAGTATTATAATATAAGGCTTACAACTTTAAAAGAAACTCTGTTTTGAAAGGAAACCCTAAAAATTATGACATGAAAACTCGCATGACTTTGCAAGCTTTTTCTCACAATAATTAAAAACTCAATTTGGCCAAAAATCGCTGAGCGCGTCACATATTTGCCAGCACTTTTAAACTGACTTGTAAATAGTAGTTATGAAATTTTTTCTTTTTCATTATCAAAAATAGCAATGTGGAGAAAAAAATGTTTGCAGTTACAATGTATACTATTGTTTTGCACTTTAGATTTCTACCCTGAAATGTAAACATTGGAAGTGATGCACAATCCATACTCCTTGTGTTAAACCCTGTGTTGGGGCGTCCGTGGCTGAGTTGTTATGGTCGTTGACTTCAAACCACTTGCCCCTCACCACTGTGGGTTCGAATCCTGACAGGGACTTTGGATTCTTTCATGTGAGGAAGCTATCCAGCTAGCTTACAGAACGTCGGTGGTTCTACTCAGGTGCCCGTTCGTGCCTGAAATAATGCACGGAAAGGGCACCTGAGGTCTTCCTCCACCAGTAAAGCTGGAACGTCGCCATATGACCTATACTGTGTCGGTGTGACGTAAAACCCAATAATAAAAAATAAACCCTGTGTTTAAAGACCACCTCTGAATAAAGATCACTATACACCAAACCTTTATTGATTAGAGAGAACAGAAGCTTTCAAATAAAGACCACTTGTCTTATAAACATTATAAATAACACAATAAAGAATTGAATTACATTGAAAATTAAATGAACATATTGCCATCATTTTGCAAATTGGCAGAACTTGCAATGCCTATATTTAAGAAATAATATATCCCAAACTGTGATTTTATTGCTCAATAACATCACTGTTTGGAGTTCGGATGCGGGGAATTATATCACGAGGGCGTAGCCCGAGTGATATAATGATGCGCATCCGAACGACAAACAGTGATGTTATATAGCAATAAAATCACCGATTTGGATATATTATTTCGATTCTAACACGACATCAACAAATAAATGCTGCCGAACATTATAACTAGCTTAATTGCGCCTGATTTGTTTCCGTACTTATTGTCAGCGCGTCACATTTTTAGTGGTTACGTCAATTGTATAATGATTACGTCACATGTCTAAATATAGAACGTCAAACAGTGATTTTATAGCATAATAACACACACTTTCGGTTCTTCTATGTTCAATGGGGAAAAATGCGGGTCGTGTTAGAATGGTTGTTTTTTAACTCACAGATGTTAAATTGGCAAAAAAAACTTTTTTATGTGAAAGTTCTTGTCACTTATTTACATTTTGTTTGGACCATAATTATACATACATATGGACTTTGACATGGCATTATAGATGTAAGTTCTATATTTTCAGGACTCCATACATGAAGAGTTTGACGTCAGCAAGTTGCCAGCCTCGTATATATTATATATACTGTTATACTTTACAACGCTGTGTGTACTTCTCTACTACCTTATAGACAACATGTTTGCAAAGAGTAAACTTTCTCCTAAAAGAATTAAACGATGGTATGTATAAGCATCAAAGAATTAAAAGCTTATTCATATATGGATTTGATCAGAGTCATCAATTTAATGTGTGAAATGTTTATTTTTATGCCCCTTATGATAGATCTTAAGTTGTATTGCTTTTCTTTGTCTGTATTTTTGTCTGTTTTTTGTTTATTTGTTTGATTATCTATCTTTGTTAAAAACTTAAGCCATAGCTATAACATTTTTCTTCTATAAGCTACAGCCATAATTCTGGGTTATTGCATATCATTGTACACACTGTATGTTGAAGATTTTGGTGTGAAATCTTAATGGAGTTTATGCACTATCATTTAATACAAAAAAGCTCGTATCTGTTAAAATCGGGTTTTGCAGCCGTACATAACAAGATGTGTTTATAACAGTAATATACTAACATGTTACTGTCTACTCCATGTTGTGTTATTCAGAATTATTAAATATACATACGTAAGAAAGTAATACTGATATGTCCAAAATTTGAAAATTTTACCTCAAAGGTCAAAGTCATGTCAGGGTGAAAACATATTTCAATATGTCAAAGTGAAGGTCGTTTTCATAATATATATTTAATTCATTATGCCTTGACTATTAAAAGACAACCCCTCAGCCACATGGTTATGAGTTTATTATCTGAAACATTTGTTTATGTATTTCAGGGTAAGTTTGTTGGTGTTGACAACAGCATGGACATGTTTACTAGGATTTACACTTGTTATTGCCCTTCGCACCGAGGCTGCCATAGAAACCAATATATATCAACTTTCAGATACCCTAGTATGTTGTAATGTATCTACATTTGTATTATTTTTTAGCTTGACTGTTCGAAGAATGGGGGGAGCTATTTTACTCATCTAGGCATCGGCGTCACACTTTGGTTAAGTTTTTGCGTGCTAGTTGATATCTCCAAAAGTTTTGAAAGGAATGGGTTGAAAGTTCTTGCACTTATTTGTGAGCATTATAGGAGGTCACTGTTTAAGGCCTGAACTTGGATTTTGACGAAATTATGGCCCTTTCTGAACATTTTCTCGGCTCATGTTTTACTATCAAGCACTGAGAATAGTCAAGGATGGTTCTTGTTCTTGGTTTGTCCATTATTGCAAGTGGCTATAATTTCTACCAATGAAAATAAGATCAGTTGGCACATCCATGATGCATGCTCATGGTCTGCACTAATTGCTATTCAGACAGTACTTCTTTTTTTCTAAATAATGATAGTAGGTGTGTCCAGATTGATAGATACTATTGACTGTCAATTTTAATGATCCTTTTTAAAAAAAAATTCAGATATACGAGGCATATGGAGAATAATGTCCTAAAAGCTACCCCTATATTGGGCTCCAGATCTTTGTTGTTTTTTGGGGTTTTTTTTTGCAAGAACATATTTTTTTATTTTATCTTCTTCTTTCTTTGTCACTGGAAGGATATCTTCAAGTTTTAAAGTATTTGCTCTTCTGCAACGATTGACAGACTTTTTAGCCATACCGCAGGAAAAAATATATAATATAAGAATTATCTCCCTTGCACTTTCAGGTAAAATTTTATTTCTTTTCTTTTACACAATTTTTTTTTTGTTTACAGGCAGATATAATACCTACAGATCTCGCCAGCGACAAATTCAACCAGGTGTTACAATACTGGCGCACACGATGTCTCCCACCTACGACACACGGAACTATTTCTATATTCGGTATTTTACCCGTTAGGGACGTGACTTTCTACATACAATACTACAGTATACCAATAGTGACTGTACTTATAGCGCCAGTTTTCAGACTCATTGTCTCTTTGATGACCATTTATAATGTGACCAATGAAAAGCTGTCATGATATATACTTTATTTCTTAATATGAATTTGTTATTAATCAATATTTTATGATATTCTTTCCACAGATAAAAATGTAAAACAGCTTTTGATGTTGTTTTTTAACAAAACATTCAAGAATAACCTTTGCTTGATTGAACTAATGTTTACAATTTACAATGTCCACACTTCAATTTGCTTTAAAAGCTAAAAATACAAATACCTTTAAATGTCTATTTCTACAGAACTAAGTGATGGATGATCACCAAACTGTGTCTGTAGCATTCTTGGGTAGTCTTTTATTAAGTTTGCTTATATTAATTTGATTGGCCCCTTTTAGGGGCTGCTAAAGCTAAAAATACAAAAACCTTTCAACATCTTCTACTACAGATCTAATTGATGGATGATCACCAAACTTTATCTGTAGCATTCTTAGGTACTCTTTTATCTAGTTGGCTCATATTTATTTGATTGGCCCCTTTTAGGGGCCACTAAAGCTAAAAATAGAAAAACCTTTGAACATCATTTCCTACTGAAATTATTGATAGATGATCACCAAGCTTCGTAGCATTCTTGGGTAGTCTTTTATAAAGTTTGCTCATATTAATTTGATTGGCCCCGTTTAAGCTAAAGCTTAAATGCCCCAGGTCATGGCATTTCTTCAAATTATTGTTTAAACATATTCTATGCTCAAATTTAATATTAGATAATATTGACAATGGATAATTTCCAACACTGAAAAGCAGTTGTTTCTGGTGAGCGACCCAGGGCCATCATGGCCCTCTTGTTTGTTGGTTTTTAAGTAGCACCAACACTGTAAAGGTCATGATATGGTGACTTTCCAGCTTGACTGGTGGAGGGATACCTCGGGTAACCTTCCATGCATTATTCCAGGCACAAGCCGGCACCTGAGTAAAGTCACTGACGTTCCATAATCTAGCTGGATAGCTTCCTCATATGAAAGAATCCAAAGTCCCTGACAGGATTTGGACCCATAACGGTGAGAGGCAAGTTGTGCACTCGGTCATGGACACCTGAAATTACCTCCATTAGATTCATTATACTCCTCTGAAGATGCTTAAACAGTAAAAACTAACATGTTATATATAGATATAGAGATAACTTTATTAAAAAATATTATATCAACAACATCTACATGTATTATTTATACATGGCACCTATATAAACAGTACAATTAATTATATTAACAGTACACAAAAATCACTTGATTCTATAAAATTTCAAACAATAATAACTGAAATATCTGTTACAAAAAACAATACATAGTAAATGAAACATATAATGTTCATAGGCTACATAGTAATGTTCTTTTGACCTATGAAATGAATGACCTTGACCTAGACAAAGGTCATGACCTAACAAATTAGCATTTATACCATTCATGACAGCAGTTAGAAATGTCACAATAAAAAACATGGTAAAAGTGGAGACAAGATGTTTTTGTATTCATATTTGACCTATATAACTCAAAAATGACCTTGACCTCTGAGAAGATGTCATATGCTTTATACATGACTCATTCTTCTATCAAGATGAACACTGCTGTTTTAAAATTGTGTAATGTCAGAAAAAAGTTTTGAACAAAAAACATTTTATGCCATGACAATTTTTCACCATAATTTTTAATATACACTAAGAACTATTATTGCTTCTAAACTGACAAATAATACAAAATGTGTAATTTTCTAAAAAAAATTCACAACCCCTGTAAAAGATGTATTATGTAGAATTATATTTTGACAATTTTTTATCTCCTTTCTTTTAAGCTGTTTTTGTTTAAATTAAAATACTGCACAGTAATATCCAATACCTTTTTTAGCAACATGCATTTTACAGACATATCTGTCCATATCAAGATTTACAACAAGTTTTTAAATGCTTTGTTTCAAACAACTATACTCACCTTGACAATTTTCACTTCCAACCTTACTTCATAGCACCCTATACAGTGATAGTGCGATGTCAAACTTAGCCAGATGAAAAAAAGAGCACTGGTTGATCTATGTAAGAATTAAAAAGTTTACGTTTTTTTAGGCCTTTGTACCTCAGTAGAGTTCCTTTAAGTTTTGTTCACAATGTAATACTTTTTCTTTAATATTTATTAAAATTCATCAAATCAAAAGTACATAATCAGCTACTTAAACTTATAACAAAGAGCCTTAGACAGTATCCTGGGTCAAAAGTTGAATCGGTCTCAAAACCTTAGCTACAACAAACATACCTATTTTTTGAAATACAAACAGATAGACTTATACATTAGGTAATATGGCGCCATTATTGCAAAATAATTTCTTCACATATTGATCCCTGATTTTATGTAATGAAAATGTACTGCGCTGATTTAATCAGGGTTTTCAGGGATTTCAAAGGTCAAAGTGTAATGCGCTTGAGTTGAGAAGCCAACCAAAGAGAGCCTAGTCCTTATGTAACATTAGAAAGCCTGGTCCTTATGTAACAAAAGAAAGCCTGGGCTGCGTTTCATGGAGAGTCCTAAGTTAATCCTAAATCCTAGGACTTATGACCAACTTTAGGAGAAAAAGTTTTTGCACTTAAGACCGTTTCAAGTAACTGTCCTATCTTTTGTCTTAAACTTAAGACTTATGACCAATTCGCTCTCCTGTAAAAAATTACAAAATACAATGGCACGCGCATAATCCCGGATTTGATTTACTATGTAATTGATTATAGCAAGTATAACTAGAACTGCCACTATCATGGCGTGAATACCCCGCATACCACTTTGTCAGAATCAACAGTGGCCATTTAGAGCTCAAGGACAACCTCCCTGCCAAATCTGAGGTTACTAAGCCAGTGGATTGCTAAGTTTTGTCAAGGTCCCTGTGACCTTGCCCTTTGACCCAGTGACTTCAAAATCAATAGGGGTCACCTTATAGTCATGATCAACATCCATACCAAATATGAAGACTGTGGGTCAAAGGAATGTTAAATTAATGGGTGTACAAACTTTTTGAAGTCAAAGTCCCTATGACCTTGACCTTTGATCCAGTGACCTCAAAATCAAAAGGGGTCATAATATTATACTAATCATGATCAACATCCATGCCCAAATATGAAGACTGTGGGTCAAAGGAATCTAAAGTTATTGGGCGGACAAACTTTTTGAAGTCAAAGTCCCTGTGACCTTGACCTTTGACCTGGTGACCTCAAAATCAATAGGGGTCATCTACTAATCATGACTAACCTCCATGCCAAATATGAAGACTATGGGTCAAAGGAATCTTAAGTAATTGGGCGGACAAGCTTTTTGAAGTCAAGGCCCCTGTGACCTTGACCTGGTGACCTCAAAATCAATAGGGGTCATCTACTAATCATGACTAACCTCCATGCCAAATATGACGACTGTAGGTCAAAGGAATCTTAAGTTATTGGGCGGACAAGCTTTTTGAAGTCAAGGCCCCTGTGACCTTGACCTTTGACCTGGTGACCTCAAAATCAATAGGGGTCACCTACTAATCATGACTAACCTCCATGCCAAATATGAAGACTGTAGGTCAAAGGAATCTTAAGTTATAGGGCGGACAAGCTTTTTGAAGTCAAGGCCCCTGTGACCTTGACCTTTGACCTGGTGACCTCAAAATCAATAGGGGTCATCTACTAATCATGACTAACCTCCATGCCAAATATGAAGACTGTAGGTCAAAGGATCTTAAGTTATTGGGCGGACAAGCTTTTTGAAGTCAAGGCCCCTGTGACCTTGGACCTTTGACCTGGTGACCTCAAAATCAATAGGGGTCATCTACTAATCATGACTAACCTCCATGCCAAATATGAAGACTGTAGGTCAAAGGAATCTTAAGTTATTGGGCGGACAAGCTTTTTGAAGTCAAGGCCCCTGTGACCTTGACCTTTGACCTAGTGACCTCAAAATCAATAGGAGTCATCTACTAATCATGACTAACCTCCATGCCAAATATGAAGACTAAGGGTCAAAGGAATCTTAAGTTATTGGGCGGACAAGAAAAAACCGACGGACAGCCGGACGGCCGGACAAGCTGATCCCAGTTTACCCCCTTACAACTTTGTTGTGCGGGGGTATAAAAAGTAATGTATTGCCCTCTTATCATGTTGAGTGAAAATATATACCATATTTCACGAAAAACGATAAAATAACCGTTTTATTTAATTTCATAGTAAAAATTGGTTACGAACCCCCTTGCTTGATACGCAATTGCAATTGTACAGCGTGCAGTAATATTATTATTTATAGATGCGTCTAGCACGCGACATTTGGCGCTACATTGTGACGTCATGTAAACAACTCTTTAAACGTCTGTACAGCGTTAATGACTGAATTAAAGATATTGGTGTTCGGATTTATTTTCTTAGTTAGACCATTATCTATCATTCTAGATAGTTTTTAAAACAAAATTCAACAAAAAGTTGTTTGATTTTGGAGTGGTTTTGACTTAGGACAATCTTAAGATACCTTTAAAACACTCCTAGACTTAGGACTGTTTTCGGTCATAAGTATAGGAGTCATAAGTTAGGACCTTTTTTAAGACTTTCTTTGAAACGCAAAATTGTCACAATTTTTAACTTAAGACAAACTTAAGACTTAGGACTCTCCATGAAACGCAGCCCTGGTCCTCCTGTAACTTAAGAAAGCCTAGTCCTCGTGTAACAAAAGAAAGTCTGGACTGTGTGTAACAAAAGAAAGCCTAGTCCTCGTGTAACAAAAGAAAGCCTAGTCCTCATGTAACAAAAGAAAGCCTAGTCCTCATGTAACAAAAGAAAACCTAGTCCTCCAGTAACTTAAGAAAGTCTAGTCCGTGTGTAACAAAAGAAAGTCTGGACTGTGTGTAACAAAAGAAAGCCTAGTCCTCGTGTAATAAAAGAAAGCCTCGTCCTCATGTAACAAAAGAAAACCTAGTCCTCCAGTAACAAAAGAAAGCCTCGTCCTCATGTAACAAAAGAAAACCTAGTCCTCCAGTAACAAAAGAAAGCCTCGTCCTCATGTAACAAAAGAAAACCTAGTCCTCGTGTAACAAAAGAAAGCCTAGTCCTCGTGTAACATAAGAAAGCCTAGTCCTCATGTAACATAAGAAAGCCTAGTCCTCATGTAACATAAGAAAGCCTAGTCCTCATGTAACATACGAAAGCCTAGTCCTCCTGTAACATAAGAAAGCCTAGCCCTCGTGTAACAAAAGAAAGCCTAGTCCTCATGTAACAAAAGAAAGCCTAGTCCTCATGTAACAAAAGAAAGCCTAGTCCTCCAGTAACAAAAGAAAGCCTAGTCCTCATGTAACAGAAGCAAGCCTAGTCCTCCTGTAACAAAAGAAAGTCTAGTCCTCCAGTAACAAAAGAAAGTCTAGTCCTTCAGTAACAAAAGAAAACCTAGTCCTCCAGTAACAAAAGAAAACCTAATCCTCCTGTAACAAAAGAAAACCTCATTAAACAAAGGAGCTAGTAAGTTATTGGTAGTAAGTATAGGAAGCGGACTAAATGAGCTCCAAAATTGAGCTGAAATACATATACATTGTATACACATGTTTTAACAATATATTGTAAAAATGAAGTTCAGTTTTTAATTTCCATAACTAATACAGCCTTTACATTCACTTAAAAACAAAAACATTCACTTAAAAAACAACAAAGGTTTCATTCAAAATATATATTTGAAGCAGCAAATATTTAAGCAAATAAGTGTAAGGTTTTTAATAAATAATACAAAATATGAAAATGAATTTAAAATGATATGAATGATTGTACGACAAATTAATGATATTTCTAAACACAAGAACTGGTCTCGAAACTGGCTCTGCTCACTTGAATGTAACACCAATAGTCTGCCTTATGTGTGATAGGTTGGCTGTTGTAGACAAGTTTTATGTATGGTAGGTAAAGTGGCTGTTGTAGACAGGTTTTATGCGTGGTAGTTAAAGTGACTGTTGCAGACATTTAGTTTTGTGTGTGGTAGGTGAGGTGGCTGTTTTTGTGTGGTAGGTAAAGTGGCTGTTGTAGACAGGTATTATGTGTGGTTGGTGAGGTGGCTGTTGTATACATGCTTTATGTGTGGTAGGTGAGGTGGCTGTTGTAGACAGGTTTTATGTGAGATTGGTAAAGTGGCTGTTCTAGACAAGTTTTGTGTGTGGTAGGTAAAGTGGATGTTGTAGACAGGTTTTATATGTGGTAGGTAAAATGGCTATTAAAGACAGGTTTAATGTGTAGTTGGTGTGGTGACTGTTGTAAACAGGTTAAGGTAAAGTAGTAAAGGTAACTGTTATAGACAGGTTAACTTTGCAAGGAGCAGATAACACCAGTCTGTCATTGACCAATCGTAGATATGACTTGTACCATGATATGGTAATAAAAAACAAACATGATATGAAAATTCAGTATGAAAAAAAAATGAAACACTTATATAAGGAACTATGGTTCCCAAAGTTCTTCTTGTGGTATATATATATATTATCAAGCTCGCCTTATTGGTAGAATATTACATTTAAATAAAAAACAAAACACTAACAAAAAAATATCACATAAAAAAGTTAATGCATCAATTTCATTAAATTAACAAATAAACTTAAAAGTAATAAATAAAATTTATATTTCTTTAAATAAGTTATAAGTACTCTTTAAATATAAAATATTCATTATCATACATGTAAACAGACATTTAGAACAAGAAAATAAAATTTATTTACAGATAAATAAACAACCTGTTTTGTCCATGTCATTTAAGTAATAGACATCCTCTTTGAAATTTAAAAAAAAAAAGTTACGGCACAACCTCCGCAGAGTAACACCCTTTGGTGGACAAAGATTTTGGTTGTTTAACTGGAAGGTGTTGTTTTTTAGAGAGGTTAAATGTATAGTAAAATTCTAATTTTGGAACAAATGAGCCGCATCACAACAAAACCAAAATAGTGGGTTTGCGACAAGCATGGATCCAGACCAGCCTGCGCATCCGCGCAGTTTGATCAGGATCCATGCTGTTCGCTAACCAACTCTATTACAAGTGGAGAAACTGACAGCGAACAGCATGGATCCTGATCAGACTGCGCGGATGCAAACCCACTATGTTGGTTTTGTCGTGACACGGCTCAAATGATAATCTTGTTATAAACCGGTTATTGCTCTGCAGAGGTGGCACTGTATTCAACTTCTTGGCTTAAATTACAGCAGTCATTATTTATATATAGAGACATATCTCAAGCTGTATACAACATGTTTATTATAACAATAGGCTATAAAATATAATGAATGTAGAAATGTTAAACTATAGTACCACTTGACTATACTAAAATATTTATGCTGAAATGTACATTTTAAATTTTCTGTCAAATAATTTCATGTAATACAATTCAAAGCAAAATGTCATATGAATTTTTATAAATCAAAAATACATTTAAATGCTTTTTTCTTCATTTTAGTTTACTTATTCTCTACAAAAGTATGTCTTGAAACAATATGGAAACTATCTTTAGTCATATCTCTTTTAGGGCCCATTAGATTCTTATTTATGATTATGTAAAAAAACAACAACAAATCTTTGGTTCTGTTTATGTGAATTATGACATATTTTTTGTTCATTTTAAGACACTGCGATGGGCCTGTAACAAAAAGATAAAAATTTGAAAGAGGAGATAATTAAAAATATTTGTATCAAAAATTTCAAAGAAAAATTCTCATAAAAAGCTACATACAAAAATCTTAGCCCTTAGCCCTTGTAATAATAATAAAAAAATGTATTTTATTTTTTGCACTAGATCAGTTTGTTGCTCTATTATAAATAGTACATCCATCTCTGCAAACTGATGATTGTTTAGGGCAAAGTAAAATGTTTATGACGAAATACATTTCATATAAAGTGACATTATGCTCATATTTTCATAGTCAAGTTGAGCTGAATTGACTTTATAATTCAAAATATTGACTGTTTAAATGATGTTTGACCAACAGTTGATATTGGAAAACGTTCAGGATAAAATTATACATCTGCCTAAAATGTAAAGACTGCCCCACCCTTTTATAAACTGAGCTACAGAGGTGAATTCTCATAGATATTTACAGAAATTTTATTTGGATCTGTGCATTATTTATTGTTTATGGGAAGTAAATTACTAAATTAAAAGGAATTATGTCAAAATGAAAACTTATTTTGATATTCACCTGTTCACTCACTATATACCCTTGGATGGGCATAATGTCACATGTTTATTTTCACAGTCAAAATGTATTTTTCACTGCAGTGAAACATATTTTCTGTATTTTCACTGGTTGGTGTCTTGCCAGACTACTTTCCTCTAAATTCAGTCAATACACAAAATTTTAGGGGAAAGTTTTCAAATAGAGAAAAACATATAGTTGAGTTCTAATAAACAGAAAATTCAAGTTTTTTTTCTCCTATAAATATGGGATTTATTTTCATCTTATTGTATCAAAATTATCATATTTCACTTGTGGCTAAATTTTCATCTTGCAGTATCAAAATTATCATATTTCACTCAGTTAGCCACAGAAGCCACTCATGAAATATTTATTTTCATACCACTCGATGAAAATAAAAAATTGAATATCCTCTATGTATGATATCAACTTTAAAATTATGATGCTGTTTTATGATAATTATCCTTTAAATATCTAACTTCACTTTCAGCTCCATAAATAGACCATACCACTAGACACAGCTCAAATATAACATACCGGGTATATGTATAACATTCAATTCCCAGAATATTAACAATTTGAAATATTACAAAATACATGTACATGTATACTAAAAAAAAGAACAAAAAACAACAACAACAACAACAATAAATATGTCATGGATATCAAGTTTATAGATATGACAACAATGTTTATTTTAAACATAATATTATCATACCAATAAAAAAAGCACAACCAAATATGGCAAATATTTAAATCTACAGTACAAAATATATCATCTGAATATAGATTGCAAAATAATCTAAAGTAAACAGAAAATGCCAGTGTTTACAGAACATTTTGATATCAGGCACATGGATGGCAGTTTTTGTTTTTTTTAAATGTTATTTCTCGCAGGATTTGCTTTCTTGAAAAAAAGCATGCCATGCTGAGAATAACTGCAAGCAACCTCCTTGAAACCAATCAGAATCAACCTTGCATCTTGGTCAACCAATCAAATTGACTTTCACAAAAAGTCTAAGACAGGTAACAACCAGAATCAGTTTAACCAATCACATACAGGCTTACAGCTTGGTCAACCAATAAAAACAACTGTTTTAGAGTATGTTTTGGTGCTGTCATCATGATCCTCCATTTATAACCTCTAGATCAGGCGGGAATACAATCTCATTTTGGTCGGACTGAAAAAAAGTTGAGGAAAATATATAAATTATGAGAAAATTAAAAACAATTTTTTCAAAGGATTTTTCTCCTGATCAAAGACGAAAAGATAAATATGTGGCTTTGTTCATTACTGACCGTCTATGGTTACATTTTAGCACTTGGGTGGCTACTGTGAGGATCAATTGGTAATTATAAACTTTTATGTCATTCATTCCTTAAGTTGTTACATGGCTATATTTTCTCTTAAGTAGCTAAAAGAACAATAGGGAGAACAATCAATAGAGAAGCCACCTAGGTATCATACAATAAGCGTGTCTGTCCCAATCCATCTGTCTGACAAAAGTGTGACAAGAGAGCCAAGATGATCTATCAAACTCATCCGAGCAATTACTTTGAGACAAGCATCCTGACAAAGTTTGATGACAACTGATTAAAAGATGTAATCACAAGAGCTTGAACAAGGTTTTTCAATATTTGGGCAGTGTGACCCAGTTTTTGACCCCAGGTGACCCATATTTGAACTGAACCTAGAAATCATCAAAACAAAATTGTAGACCTAAATTTCAAGGATATTTGCACTTTTGCTTAGTTATACAAAGTTTGAAGTTGATCTAAGTGTAAAAATAAACAAAGGGTAATAACTCCAAAGTAAGACAAGGCAGTGTTATGGTTCTTTTCCACTGCACTTCTACTCAATGAGATCTATCTACTTACAATGTTTCTTGTTAATTCCCCTGTAGTCCCTGACAAAGTTCAAAGTATAGAAATAAAAAAAAGGGCAACAACTCCAAAATTATGCAAGACAGAGTTATGATTCTTTTGCACTGCACTTCTGCTAAATGAGATCATACGCATACAATAATGTCCCTTACAAAGTTCAAAGTATATAATAAAACTCAAAAAATATTTCTTTAAAAATAATGTCTTACAACAAGTATCATGTGGATTATACCATTCACAGTTTTGAAATCGTTCTATAATTTCAGTTAAAAGCAAAGTCAAGATGTTGGAAGTAGACTGGTTTGATTTTGGGAATGTTCATCATAACGGCATTTTTTAGTACAAGAAGGTAGTTGTGCTTACATACCTATTTCAATTATGCTGAATTCATTTTTTGCCCTACCACAGCTATATTTTTAGTCCTTGACCTTTAAAAATTAAATTCAAAATGGGCGCCCGTTTTTTCTTTTAATTTTTACTCTAAAAATTATCCCATAGGCAAGATAATACACATCTTTTTGAAATTTAATTTAAAGTTTTGCTTATTTAAGTCAGCTGAAGTGTGAACAATAGAAGAATAAATGGGGATAAAAAAAGATAAATTACTGAGTTGACGTGTAAGGATGTTTGTGATCTTCATCATTTTTTTTCAAACTACAAAAGCAGCTTTTTGCCCCCAATAACCAATAATTCATTCAAAAGGTCAGGCGTCATGATAGGGAATTTAAACTCATTACTTTTAACTTGGAAATTGTCAAATATACCTTACTGGCACATGAGGACACTCAGACGGATGGACAGACAGACAGACATTTTAGCAGACTTCCCTTTAGGGGGATAAAAACTAATTGAAAAAACATTGAAATTGAGTTTAAAAGAACAGTGTTTGTATGCTTGGAAGTATGAAAATAACATCTAAATGACACATATATGATTCTCATTTATTTTGGTATAAATTGCGACTTTTTTGCACCATAAAGTTTGTACATTTAATGGAGGTTTCTCTACGTTTGCCCTGGTAAGCCTTAAAGCTGCACGCCTCCAGATGTGCCAAACTATTTCAAGAAAATCAATATTGAAAAAAATGCACTAAACTTTTAGGAAAGATAAAAACATTCAAGATCCAAATTATAAATTCCATAAATACTAGAAATCGCCATCCAGGTGGGCATTTGAAACATAATTCTTCATAAAATAGGCTCCTTCTTGAATATTAGATCTAATGTTTCATCTATAATAGTCTTTATCCCAAAAGAGCCTACACACTGGTTTAGATGAAGATAGTATTACAGTTCTATATATAGGTTACCAACAAAAACATGGCCTGTAGACGCCCCTTTATGAGAACTTTGTCGTCCATTTTGTTATCATGTGGTATTAATTTCTAAATCTCGTAAATTGTATATTATGCCGCCTTCCTGTAACGACAATGACTTTGTGTTAATGTGTAATGTAAAAATGGTATGAATTTTTGTAACCCACAATTAATAGACCTATAATATTTTACTCCGTAATATAATATCATTCACCGTCCGTAGGCTGTTTATGGTTCAACAATAAAACCGCTGTTTACGAGTGATTTTTTCCAAAGTGAAAGATAATAAAGCTTAAAACAGCATGCCTTCAGAATTGAGCGAAAATAATTCAATAAATTCAAACTTGAGAAAAATGTACTAAGACTTTAAGGAAAAGAAGAATGATACAAGATACGAGTATAAATTTACATGTTATAAGCAATAAATGGTTTATTTTTCATTGTGTGTAACTTATAATATTTCTACTGCGTTACTTAAACACAGTAATGGCAATTTTTGCTTATTTTGACCTCTTTTTGTAATTAACGTGGGATGTAAATGCTATTGATAATGGGTAAATTGCTTCTTTTTGGTTACTATAAAATGTTATACTTTTAATTACATTTTTTAAAATTTTCATGATAGTAAGCATTTATCTGGAGGTGGGCTGCTTTAAAATGACATTTGCATTTATTTAAGTTTACTAGTATTTCAATACAGATAGATGGTCTGATTTAAACCATGCAGCGTTTAAACCTAGACATATTTTAGAGTTATTCTCTGAAATCAAGACGACACTTTATAAAGTAGCTACACCATTATACAACAAAAATAATACATATAAAAAGTAACCAAAAACCAAAATTATGTTTAACTGTTGGCTCAGGTTGACAGAAAGTATGTAAAACAGGTTTGCGGATGATTTTAAATTCCAAATTTTACAATTGCCATGTTTAAATGTTGAATTGTGCTTATGCCTGAGCTACATGTACGAGCCTGCAACATTTTCAATTTTGCCGTTTTGAGCATTCTTTAGGGATTCTGTTTTTTTCTATTTTGAACCGTGTTATTCCGTGTTGTTGCAATGACATGCAGGCACAGAGACATAGTCTCTAGCCTGTGAAGATGAAACTTAAGGCAATTTTTAAAATATTTGCATACTGAATTTGACTTTTGACATTCAAGTTATAAAGTGATTTAGTGTCCATAATGGTTTACACACATGCTATTTTATCAAAATTAAAGACTTAAACATCTAATGGTAAATTAAATTGTGCAGATTTTGTTGGACATTTGAAATCTCAGATACCTGCCCATAAAGAATGACCTGAAATAGTTTGAGGTCATGATGAAATTCAGGATACCTACACATTGTGTACAATTCTTCATGCAAGTTGCTTATATCATCATTTATTTTTTAATAAAGATAAAGATCCTTTTGTTTAAAAGCACATCACTTATATTTGTTTAGAGAAGGGTGTCCATTTTGAAATCAAAGATGGCCACCATTGCAGTAAATAAGTAAATCATGATTTATTATCAGCCAATCATTCATAAAAGAGTCTAAAACTTTATTTCATGTGGTTTAACGGGAATACATTACGCTACGAACCAGAAATAAGAAATTATAAAGTAAATTAAGTAAAGGTCAATGGCGCCTTTGATCTTTAGATGGTCAAGCACTTAGAGCACAGCCTACCTGAATTATGTAAAAAGGACTGACTACCTGCTTGTACTAAAAAATGCCTTTAGACTCTTAACTCTTTAGAGTCTTTTCTGAAAATCAAACCAGTTTAAAGGTGTAAGAATGGTGTGGAAATTACATACAAAATAAAATATGAAAACTCTAGATTTACTGCAAATATCCGTCAAACATGCTTTAAGTGTAAACAGTATCTTCTGTTTTTATTACCATATAAATACTTACAATTCTATATAAAGAAATTAGATGCGTGTTTATGTTTGTTACGGATACTTCTCCAGTTTGTTTGAGGATTAAATATAAAAAAAATATTATAACTAAAAAAATGTGCATTTACAAGGTTTTGCTACAATCAATGTTGGTTTTCTACACTTGGAAGTACACAGATGCTAATTTGAGTGCTGTTGCGGTGTATTCCATGCTAGGTGCTAAAATAGATGTGATTAATAGTGAAATGGCCTTGTTACGTCGGGTTCTTATGTCAACCAAATCAGAACTGAAGTCGACCAAAGCTGAACTGACATTTACTCAGACAAAACTGAAATCAACTCAAGCAGAAGTTGACCTGATCAAATCACAATGTGGATTAGTCACAGGAATCTACACAAATGTAAGTTAACACTTATTAAATGCTGAAGAATTAAATAAACAAATTTTACTTCATTAAATGGGAAATAAAAAGATTTTCCAATTACTGTATTCCAAGTATTTCTTAAAACATGGATTCATGTAATTGTTAAGTTCCTGAACATCAATTTCTGACTTCCTTCGAGGTAGTCTCTTAACAACTATCTATAATCAAGGGGACAATTGGCCCAAAAAGCACTCATTTGAGGACAGAATGGTAACAGTGTAAAACACTGCAAGTTGATGTCAGCTAAAACCAGGTCCTGTTAACTTTCAAAATTAACAAATCTGTTTGAGGTCAACTGCATAATGTTTCATATTAAACATCTAAGCTTGATAAGATGCATGAAACAAACCAATGACCCTGGCACAGGACCAATTTTCACCCTGAAGACATAATCTGAGCAATTTTTGTAGAGGTTAAAAATTTTCATTTTAAAACCCCATTTGTGGCCATAAGACCTGCTTTAATGCAATGGCCTGAACTATTTCAAATTTGATTAGGGTCTAGCCATTCCTTTTGGTAAATATCCTTACACTGGTTTCAGATTACATTTGTATAATAATTAGACAGCGGGGGGGATCACAAAAGGTGACCATGAACATGTTGAAAAAATCAAGTTCAACACTACACTGTGATGGCAAAATAACTTATAAATGTGTTGCTTTGATAGAAACATGGTTGTGATTTATCTTTTTATAAATACCTTTGTTAAGTTTTATGTGAAGCTCACAGATGGAGGAAGACGTTGTGTGCTATTTTATGCATTATTTCAGACTTAAGCAATCAACCATAAATTTTTAATAATTATTCTAGCCATTGCCTTTACTGCTAAACAAATATAGAAATGACAAAATGTCAATCATAGATAAGAGTAAAGACACTTTAAATAATTTTCAGACAACATCTCCAATCTCTCCAAGCACCTCATCTGAAGATGAAACATGTCAAGATGTTAAAAAGGCATTTGTGAGAAAGAAAGCAGAACCGGACCAGACAAGACAAGATATAGAAAACTTGTATGTTGATATTCTATTATAACAATAAATGTTAAACAACACATATGCCCCCCTTTCTAGCCCCATGACTCATACTACTGGTAATTTTGTTATATAAACATGCCATAAATGGGTACAAGGAAGAGTTCAATTATGGAAAAAGAAAAAAAATGACCAATATATGACCTGAAACTAAATAAAAGCTGTCATTAGTATAATGAGCAAAACCATTCTGACACATAAGGCCCCTGTGGCCTTGACCTTTGACTTAATGACCCTAAAATTAGTAGGGGTCATCTACTAGTTATGATCAATCAGTATGTGAAATATGAAGACTTTGTGATAAATAGTTTTAAAGATATCAGAGGAAACCATGTGGTCCACCTGTGACCTTCACCTTAAGACCCCAAAGTCTATAGGGGCCATCTACTAATTATAACCAATCAATATGTGAAATATAAAGACTAAGACTTAGTGATGAATAGTTTTAAAGATAATGAGCAAAACCATTCTGACATTTAAGGTCGGCCTGTGACTTTAACCTTTGAACTAGTGACCTTAAAAAAGTAGGATTCACATACTAGATATTACCAAGTGACCCCAAAATCGGCACAAGTCATCGACTAGTTCTGAACAATTAGTATGTCAAATATGAAAAATTTGTGATAGATAGTTTTCTAGATAATAAGCTGAAACCATTCTGACATTTAAGACACTTGTGACCTTGACCTTTGACCTAGTCATCCCAAAATCAATAAGGGTCATCTACTAGTTATGACCAATCACTACGTGAAATATGAAGAGACTTTATGAAAAATAGTTTTCAAGATAATTAGCGGAAACCATGTGGTCTACCAATGGACAGACAGACCGACCGACAGACAGACAAACATTAGCAAAACAATATACCCCCTATTCTTCGAAGGGGGCATAATAATCTTATAAAACTTTATATTTTTTAGACAAATACAAAATGATATTTTAAATATAGCAGAGCTGTCAGTAGGACAGGGTGGGTGCTCAACTATTCGTAAAACAAAAGCCTGAAAAATGTAGTTTTGCAAGTTCTCAAAGGGCCGTAATTTTGTCAAAATCCATGTTAAGGGTTTTGTAGTGACATACTGTAATATGCTTTCAAAAACTGTTTGAAATTTAAACCCATTCCCTTCATACAAACTTGCGTGCAAAAACTTTATCAAAGTGTGACACAGATGCCAATGTAAATACAATAGAAATTCCTATTCTTTGAATAGTTAAGCTAGCCAAAATATGTCATGAAATAAAGACTGATTGACAGAATTTACAACATGTCAGAAGGAACTAGTCTGAACTATATGAACATTCCAGTATAAAAGATCTGTTAACAAGATTCCTATAGCTGACTTCAGTGTTCTTATTTGTTGATTTCTAAGCAAATCTTTTATTTCAAGCATACTGTTTTAAGAGGAAGATAGAATAATTCTATAATAACTTTGAACAGTTTTTTTCCATCAAAAGTATTGTAAATGTAAAGGTTTTGTGTCATGGTGGAACACTATGTGTCATTAAAATATGTACTACACCATTTTTGGGTAAAATACTTTTATTGCAGCTATATGTTGTAATCTAGAAAATTCTAACTGAAAATGTCTAATTTGTATAAGAGAATGCATCATCTTAATTTGGAATGCGGTACACTTATTTCCTATTATTGGTCAAGTTAATTTGGTCCTTTCTTAGAAAAATTACAGTTTTTTTAATGCCTATGTTATGCTTCACAGATCAGCTCATGCTTGTGACTAATGCCAAGTGATTTCAATATCTATCTAAGACAGTAAAAGTTACACTGACTTCCAATGTAAAAGTTACATGTATGAACCAGACACAGAGAGATAGACAACAATTTTGGCCAGTTTATACAGCTACAATATTTGCCAGTTTATATATCTGCAAGTTTGGCCAGTATATACAATTTTGGTCAGTTTATACATCTACAATTTTGGCCAGTGTATACAATTTTGGCCAGTTTATACATCTACAATTTTGGCCAGTTTATACATCTGCAAGTTTGGCCAGTATATACAATTTTGGCCAGTTTATACATCTACAATTTTGGCCAGTTTATACATCTGCAAGCTTGGCCAGTATATACAATTTTGGCCAGTTTATATATCTACAATTTTGGCCAGTTTAAACAATTTTGGCCAGTTTATACATCTACAATTTTGGCCAGTTTATACATCTGCAAGTTTGGCCAGTATAAACAATTTTGGCCAGTGTATATATCTACAATTTTGGCCAGTTTAAACAATTTTGGCCATTTTATACATCTACAATGTTGGCCAGTTTATACATCAATGTATAAGCTGTTATCTGCTAAAGACCTGCATTATGCACATAGCACAGTCATCATCCGACAATGTTCAATTAATATATGCCACAGACAGAATAAAGAGGCATTAACTGTATCACTACCTTTAGGGACATTAGAAAGATAACTTTATTTTCTTAGCATAGATTTTTTTTTTCCTTCAAAATTTCCTTGACAAAAAAAAGCAGTAAATTCTTTGAAGAAAAAAACCACCTTGGCAGGTAAAGGGTTAACTTGAATAACATTTGACTTTCAAACCATACCAATATATTTTAGAGACACTATAACATAATGTTAGATTACATATACAACTGGCATATTTCAAGTTTATTTCTTTTACCTACATGCAGGATAGAGAAGAAAATGGCTGAAGTAAATGAAGATATTGCAAGAAATAGCGAGGGGTTGGTATCCATGGAGACTAAAATAGACAAACTTGCTGTAGACTTAGTTAGCTTCAGGAACAACAGTGACAAACAGTTGGTAAAGATTGGACAAGAGGTAAAAGTGTTGACCGGAGAGATGGCAAGTTACAACTTGGAAATGGTGAAAAAGGAGACAGAAATTATAAAAACTAATAACAATTTATATGTCTTATCTAAAAACTTTGACAACCTTACACAACAAATGAGAAATGAAATGAAAGATATCAAGGAAGAGATGTCAAATAACACTCTTAATCAAATAAATTTGGAAAGGAAAGTGGCAAAGGAAACTGAGAATCTCCAGGCACTATCCAACAACCATGAAAAACTTTCCATGAAGGTTGAACAACAACAGAATAACTTTGATAAAGAGATACAAAATAAAACAATGTGTCAGATTAAAACCAGATCAGAGTTAGAAAAACTTTCAAGAGACCTCAATGACTTATCAAATACTCAAACCAGGCTTGCTGAGACAGTTCAAAACCAGAAGTCACAAATCACAGAGGTTGTAAAATCTGAAATGGAGAAGACTGAGCATTGTCAATCAGGTCTTGTCCATCATTGGCATACCAGCAGTCCATTTCCTATCACATTTACAATAACTTTCAAGAAGCCTTTTACAAACACACCTGCATTTACCATGGGTGCTTCACTGCTTGACTTCGAACAAAACAGAAATTTAAGACTAATATTGACTGTGGAAGAATTATCAAAGGAACAAGCAAAAGTACATGCTAAAATATGGGCTGATACAGTAATCCATGCTGCTGGTTTTCATTGGATGGCTTGCCCAACTTAAAAATTGCATAAATATCATAATGCTAAGTGACCATTTACTTATGTTTGATTCTGTCAGCATTTTTTCCCCGATTTGTGAATGGGTCCAGTATGTACCATGAAAATTATGGGGAAAAAATCGTTAATTGTGACTTTCTTCTATAAAGGAAAATTTATATATGCAGTTACTTTAATCATACAATACACTCGGATTGTTTCTTATATAATCTGTTCCTTTTCTTTCTTACATCAAAATACTATTTTGTAACCCAAATGACCTTTTTTTTCAGATATTTCACAAGAAATTCACCATTCTTTAAGGGCTTTTTTGTCTGTTACATTATCCTTTATTATTTGGTTACCGTCAGACTAATTTTATACACGCAGCTTCAAAACATCTTTGTAATCATAGTATGAAACAATCAAAATACTTTATCTGTAATTCAATACCACTAATAAAGATTGCTGTGTTATGTTCAATTTTGGACTGCTAAAATAAAGCTGAGTAATTGTGACAGTTTTATTGTTATTTTAACTTTAAGTAGAATATACATGTATTTAAATTTTAGCAAAAAAAATCCTATTGATTTTAATTCCAAATGAAACCTTATAAGACAAGAGGGCCATGATGGCCCTGAGTTGCTCACTAGAAACAACTGTTTGTCAGTGTTAGAAATTATTTTTCAAATGAACTTGCCCAAAGGCAAGTCCAGCTTAACTTTAACTTGCCCCTCTAGTTATATACTCTCACAACACTGATTGTTTTCTTCATAATAAACAATAGGGCCAAGATGGCCCTAGATCACTCACCTGACCCATCATTTCATTATTCACAATATAAATTGAAATATTTTGTCCTAATATTTTGGAATAGCTTTGTTAAAAAATATCTATGTTACTAGTGTGTACCCATGAGACTATGTAGAATAAATGAAGAATAAATGACCACTATAGCAGGGTTTATTTTGATAGGACAATTTTTTTTATAACTTTTGTGAATGAATACACAAAATGTCATATGCAAAATATGTAAGGTGTAGATGTTTGAAATTTACAGCTGAGACAACATATTTTTTATACATTTTATATGTTAACATTACTGTACCTAAAAAAATAACAATAGGTCAAACAATGTAAAAGATATCAAAAGAAGGCCAGCTGATATTAAAAGTCCATTCAGCATCAGAAATAACATCCCTTGTCCAAATTACAAGTCTGTATGTCAATGAATAAGAAAGTAGGTCAAATGATATAAAAAAAAAAAATCAGAAGTAGGTCAGCTGATATCATACTTCAATTCAGCATCAGAAATTACACACTTGGTCAAAATTTCATGTTTGTACGTCAAAAAGCAAGAAAGTGGCTCAAGTAGGTCAGCTGCAATCAAAATTCAATTAAGCATCAGAAATTACACCCCTGGTCCAAATTTATAAAGTCTGTACGTCATAAAACAAGAAAGTAGGTCACATGGTATCAAAAGTATCAGAAGTAGGTCAGCTAATATCAAAAATCACTTTGGCATCAGAAATTACACCCCTGGTCCAAATTTCAAGTCTGTATGTCAAAAAACAAGGAAGTAGGTTGACAGATACCAAAATTATCAAAAGTATATAAGATTATATCAAAATCTGATTTAACATCAGAAATTATACCATTAGTCAAAATTCCATGTCTTTATATCAAAAATCAAGAAAGAAGGTTAAGCGATATCTAAAATATCAAAAGTAGATCAGTTAATATCAAAATTCAATTCGGCATCAGAAATTAAGCCCCTGGTCCAAATTTAAAATCTTATGTCAAAAAAGAGGGCCATAATGGCCCTGAAATCAGTCACCTGTCCACAACTGTATACAGAAAATCTCTATGACAAGGAACAAGAAATATTGAAAACTATAAGCAAAAGCAGATAAAAAATCGAAATCTTAAACTGATATCAGAAAGTTCATATTTATATCTGAAAAAGTGCATGTGTAAAAACATTAGTTTTTAATATATACATATAAAGAAAATCAATGACCACCCCCCCACCCCGCGCGGGCCAATTTTAACCCCAAGGCTTTTATTTGAACAAACTTGGCAGACACCCATTAGAAACTGTTTCAAGCTAAATATCTAAGCTCTAGCTTTTTGGGCTTTTTAAAAGAACATTTTTAAAGTTGTTACAATATACATTTTGGGAAAATAATGACCCATGGGGCGGGGCCAATTTGAACCCCAGGGCTATTATTTGAACAAACTTAGTAGACACTCATTAGAAGATGTTTTGTGCTTAATATCTAAGCTCTAGCTCTTTGGGTTTTTTAGAAGAAGATTTTTAAGTTTTTAATATATACATATAAGGAAAATCAATGACCCCCTGGCGTGGCCAATTTTGACCCCAGGGCATTTATTTGAACAAACATGGTAGACGCTCACTAGGAGGTGTATCATGCTTAATATCTAAGCTCTAGCTCTTTGGGTTTTTTAAAAGAAGATTCTATATACATATAAGGAATATCAATGACCCTCCGAGGCGGGGCCAATTTTGACCCCAGGACATTTATTTAATAAACATGGTAGACACTCAATAGAAGATGTTTCATGCTTAATATCTAAGCTCTAGCTCTTTGGCTTTTTAAAAGAACATATTTTTAAGATTTTCTTTTGGTTGCCATGGCAACCAGAGTTCTGCATGGAATTAAATTCTTTGAAATATTTTCAAAGGTAACCACCAAAGGAACATTCCTGTGAAGTTTGAATGAAATTGGCTTAGCAGTTTATGAGGAGTTGTCGTTTAAAGAAAAAGTTTACGGACGGACCCCGGAAGGACGCCAGACGATAAGCGATCACAAAAGGTCACTTTGTGACAGATGAGCTAAAAAGACAATGATAAGAAAGTGGTAGAAATCAGCCATCATTATAAAAACATCTATGATCATCATAATAATTGCAACTTTAAGGATTACATAAGAAATTGTTATACATTTTTCCTCTTTGATTTATCTCTATATTTACCTGTGCAACTTCTGTGTAGTTTGGTGGTGGTCTGTAGTTGTACACATATGTGTATAACGGTGTGTAAGTGAGATCACCCATATTCTCCTCGGGGTTATTTCTGTCATCATCTTCGTCCCATAAATTGACAGCGCCACTTACACTTTCTGCATATGTTGGTGGGTCTGTAATGAAATTGTTTAGCATAATTTAATACAACTGTTAAAATCGGTTAATTCTTGAGAATGAATAAGAATTTCATTAGAATCAAGTTGACCTTTAGTATATCAATTTGTTGGTCAACTGCCCATTTTTCAGCCTTCTGATTAAATGAATTTAAATTTGAAATATTGAATTTGATAGACTGTTAAATTTCCTGTAATGGTATGTTTTGATTGCTTGTCATTCTGTTATTTATTCTGTGATCTCTAAAGATTTATCATTACTGGATCTAAGATTATCAATTTAAACCATTTTTTACTTTTTTAAACCAAAATTTCCATATCAAATCACTTTTGTACCCTGTGTAGCCTCATTTTCATCTTTAGAGTCCAAAAAATCCATATCAAATCCTTTTTGTACTAGAAGTAACTAATTTATGTCAAATTGTAAACACTGAATCCCCACCCCCCTCCCCCTTCAAAAGAAAACAACAACAGCAACAAAACATTATTTTCCTAATTTATAACATTATCAAAAACCAGGAATTCAGGAAAATACCTGAATTTTTACTCATGAAGATGCTGTTTAAAGTAAAACGTTGACAATGCACTACACATTTCACACAAAGCATGATCCTTATACCTTACTTTGAGCAAATTGTGCTCAGGTGAGCTTAAAAATGACATAGACAAAAGTTTACCTTCAAAAGGTGGTGGTGGGGTAATGGTTTCACGGTATGGTGGTGGATTTGGAAGTCCAAGAAATGTCATGGCATTATAATGAGCTTGAGTCTCCCTGTAGAAATTTGAGTCAGTAAAATTGAAAACTCCACGTCGAAACGGCACCGTTCCAATCATGATTGGTAAATGCATGGTCAAATTGTACGCACCAGGGATATGAAGGGCAACCTAGAATAAATAAATTAATAAATGAGTTGGGTGGTGAGTGAAATAGTGAATGAAATAATGAATTAATAAATGAATGAATGAACTACAAATTTTTACTAAGTCAAGGGAGATAACTCTAACAAAACTGAACAAGAGCCATGTCAACATGGCCATCCCCCGCCGAATGGGTTTGCTCATTGGAAGAATGTATATGAAGTAGAGCAGAATAATTCAATTTTAAGAGGTCTTTTGGTAATGAAAACTAATGGCTGAAGTGATTACAGATTTGAAACCTATGTGAATACTGATGGCTGAAAATAACAAAGGGCAATAACTGAAAAATAATGCAGGTTATAATTCTTGTGTGCAGCACCCCTCCTCAGTAAAATCTATCCACCAATGAAGTTTCAAGTTGATACCTCAAATAATTTTTTAGATAAGCTCCGGACAAAATATTATGAAAAAGAACAAAGGGAAATAACTCAAAAATTATATAGGGACGAGTTATCATTCTTGCGCAGAGCATTCCTCCTCAATAAGATCTATCCACCTATGACATTTCATGTTGACATCTCAAACACTTTTGAGTTATGCTCCACTCAGGTGGAAAATTAAGTATGAAAAATAACAAAGGGCAATAACTCAAAAATTATGAAAGGTAGAGTTATCATGAAGTTTCATGTTGATATCTCAAAGGCTTTTTGAGTTATGCTCTGGACAAAAATTAATTTTGAAAAATAACAAAGGGCAATAACTCAAAAAATATGCAGGGTAGAGTTATCATTATTGTGCACTGCACTCTCCTCAAATGGGGTCTATCCACCTATAATTTTTCAATTTTGATATCTCAAATATTTTTTTGGAAAATTTTGCTACAAAAATGAGCCCAAAAAGGAGGGACGGAGCAATTTTTCTATATCAGGCGGGGGGGGATAATTAATCCACACGTGAAACACATGGGTGCACAAATTCACTCTCTGATCAAATTTCCTGTAAAGTTTCTTGACTCTAGCTCAAACACTTTTATAGCTACATGTACATGTGACACAACATTTTGGAATGCACAGACAAGGGTAAATGTAACACGGAATGTCTTTTCTACCTTAACATATTGTCACCTTAATGTAGTAACAGGTTAAGTCCTTTTATAATTCAATAGGAATTAACCTGTTACTGCACTAAGGTGACCATATGCTTCATTCAGGGCATGCCATGCATTTATTTGCTATGCATGAAAACAAAAAGTACATACATATAAGGTTTAGATAAGATCTTATCATAAATTTCATTATAGACAAGGAAGAAATATACTTTAATCAATTTATACATGTACAATCAATAAATATGAGTAAATAATGTCCTATTTCAGAAACTGACAAGTGTTGACATGAACCCTTTGATATAAAGTACCAATAACTACATAAAGACAGTCTAGCTCAATCAGGTATATTTTGATACAGATATCTATTCGATATTTAACAAACAACAGAAAATTTATAATTCAAAGCACGACCCTTACGAAAAAGTACACCCGAAGTTAAGACGAAATCCATCTTCAATAAATACAAAATGTATGTGGTTCCCGCCTAAGTGTATTATAAGTGTCTTTCTGGCCATAGAAGAAAAGAGCTCGAAATATGCAAACTTTCTTCTTAGTAAGGCAGATTCTAGATAAAATAGCCGAAATCAGCAAAGCAGGAAAAAATTCTGCCAATGGTTCTTTCCTTAGGCTGTAAAACATCCATAAAATTAGCAGGAAAATAATCCAACTAAGTCCCTTCATTAGACGAGGGAAAAAAGGCCCTAGAATTGTGCAAGGTAATACTTCGAGCCAAATTACCGACCTTGACAAAGTAGTCCACTTTCATAACACAACAATTTATAATGGAAGGTGAGACTGCTGGTATCTTGAGAAGTTGTGAGTCCCAGCTTCCTCTAGTTCCTGGTCCCACTGGCAAACCTAGAGAAAAAACATAGACAAAAGGAGTTAATTTGCTTGCATAACACTAGATATAAAAAAAACTTTCTGATTTACACAACAATAGATAAAATAACTTGCTGACTTACACAATGATACAAGATGTAAAATCTTGTAGATTTACACAACACTAGATAACATGTCTTGTAGACTTACACAGCAGTAGAAAGCATGTCTTGTTTATTTAACCACTGCTAGATATCATGTCTTGTTGACTTACACAGCAGTAGATAACATGTCTTGTTGACTTAAACACTGCTAGATTACATGTCTTGTTGACTTAAACACTGCTAGATAACATGTCTTGTTGACTTAAACACTGCTAGATTACATGTCTTGTTGACTTAAACACTGCTAGATAACATGTCTTGTTGACTTAAACACTGCTAGATATCATGTCTTCTTGACTTAAACACTGCTAGATAACATGTCTTGTTGACTTAAACACTGCTAGATAACATGTCTTGTTGACTTAAACACTGCTAGATAACATGTCTTGTTGACTTAAACACTGCTAGATTACATGTCTTGTTGACTTAAACACTGCTAGATAACATGTCTTGTTGACTTAAACACTGCTAGATAACATGTCTTGTTGACTAACACAGCAGTAGATAACATGAACAGTTGACTTAAACAACACTAGATAAAATATCTTGTTTACTTACACAACACTAGATAAAATGTCTTGTTGACTTACACAACACTAGATAAAATATATTGTTTACTAACACAACACTAGAGCTTAATCTAACTGGGAAGATTCGATTCTGTCATAATCAAGAGGTAATTGCTCTACAAGAGGCCTTTCTCCAGAGGTTACATTGTTAAAGGTAATTGCTCTACAAAAGGCCTTTCTCCAGAGGTTACACTGTAAAAGGTAATTGCTCTACAAAAGGCCTTTCTCCAGAGGTTACACTGTAAAAGGTAATTGCTCTACAAGAGGCCTTTCTCCAGAGGTTACACTGTAAAAGGTAATTGCTCTACAAGAGGCCTTTCTCCAGAGGTTACACTGTAAAAGGTAATTGCTCTACAAGAGGCCTTTCTCCAGAGGTTACACTGTAATAGGTAATTGCTCTACAAGAGGCCTTTCTCCAGAGGTTACATTGTAAAAGGTAATTGCTCTACAAGAGGCCTTTCTCCAGAGGTTACACTGTAAAAGGTAATTGCTCTACAAAGGGACTTTCTCAAAAGGTTACACTGTATGAGGTAATTGCACTACAGAGGGACTTTCTAAAGAGGTTACACTGTATGAGGTGATTGCACTACAGAGGGACTTTCTCAAGAGGTTACACTGTAAAAGGTTATTGCTCTACAGAGGGACTTTCTCAAGAGTTTACACTGTATGGGGTAATTGCACTACAGAGGGCCTTTTTTGCAGAAGTTACACTGTAGGAGGTAATTGCACTACAGAGGGACTTTCTCAAGAGGTTACACTGTAAAAGGTTATTGCTCTACAGATAAGAGGGCCTTTCTCAAGAGTTTACACTGTATGGGGTAATTGCACTACAGAGGGCCTTTTTTGCAGAAGTTACACTGTAGGAGGTTATAGCACTACAGAGGGTCTTTCACCAGAAGTTACACTGTAGGAGATAATTGCTCAACAGAAGGCCTTTCACCAGAGGTTTCACTGTAAGAGGTCATTGCTCTACTGAGGGCCTTTCACCAGTGGTTACACTGTAGGATGTAATTGCTCTACAGAGGGCCTTTCACCAGGGGTTACACTGTAGTAGGTTTATTGCTCTACAGAGAGCCTTTCACCAGAGGTTATACTGTAAGAGGTTATTGCTCTACAGAGGGCCTTTCACACGGGGTTTCACTGTAGTAGGTTTATTGCTCTACAGAGAGCCTTTCACCAGACGTTATACTGTAAGAGGTAATTGATCTACAAAGGGCCTTTCATCAGAGGTTAGGCTGTATTATCATTTTTGCAATCACCACATATCCCCCAGATTGATTTTTTCACTGATACAATAAACTTCAAGTGATATACAATGTATATATAATCAGTCATTTTATCGATAAACTTTATCAGAATTCATGTTTTTTGTTTTATGTTATAGAAGAATGTATAGGCACTTGCATGTAATACCTTCTCAGCAGGTGTCTATGATATAACTAAAATGTAAGGAATTTCATAACACCCAGCACATTTTAGCACATTAATTTTATTTATAGTTTTTGCTACAGGTATTCTTTATTTCACATAATATCTTGAAATCTAATGCTTTTTTTTTCAAATTTCTTTTTTTTTATAATTATTTGATTTATTTTTTCCTTTTGATGCTGTTTTTTTATATATTTTTATACATATGCAAACATAAATTAGTTATGCAAATCAAGAGATTTCATATATATAGAAATCAAGAAAAGAAGTATATATTTTGCCTATTTTTTTTTTTATTTTTTATCTTCCTATAACAGCTAAAAGCAGGAGGCCCTGAAAAATTTCTACGAATTTTTGGGTTTAATTTTGGTTTAAGTAAAAGGGAGTTAAAACTTTTTACTTTCTAAATTCTGGTTTGAATAAAATAATTCGTAAAAATTTGTAAAAGCATTTGGTTTTATATCTTTTGAAGCATGATTTCTTAACAAAAAAGGAAAAAAGGTGTTTTGGTGAAGAGGAAAAACCCAAAATTTCCTATTAACACCCCGGGTCTTACATTTTTCCCGGAGAGGGGGCTTTTGCTTTATTTCCACAGAGTTTTTTTAAACCCAAAAACATTGTAAAAAAAACCCGGAAACAAGTTTTTTTAATAAAATAAAAATTTAAAGTTTTTATATACATTTTTTTGTTGATTAAAAAAAAAATGGATTTGAAGGACTGAAAAAAAATATAAATTTTCCTCGAGTTCGCATGATGAAAGCATTTTTTTTTCCTTATCAAAAAACTTTGAGGGGGGGGGGGCCTTTATGAGGGGAGAGACATTTAATAGGAATTTTACAGTACAGATAATCATATCAGTAAGGAAAAATCTTGATGATCTACCTCATGATTAATTAATATCTAACTCCTTGTCATGGCAGATCCTGCTATTTAAATTTGAAAATTCAGATTGAGATTTGGTTTGGATTAACATTTATATTGAAACTCTATACTTACATATCTCATCATATAAGACATGTTCTTTGAATTTTAAACTTCTAAAGACATTAAAGGCCTAATATGCCTCAGAAATGCTATTGATCAATTTTTTCCCCGAAAACTTTTTATTTTTGAAACCTTCGTTAAAGTTTCCAAAAAATTTAATTTGTCAAGTGAATTTTGGTCCAAAAAATATAGGACTTACCTCTGAAATATAGGACCATTTTCCCAGAAATATAGGAATATATAGGACAAGAAAAACAAAGAATTTTTGCACTTTTAAGCCTCCTCCTCCACTCACTACACTCTCCTTTATTTACAAGTTACAACAGGTATAACAACTTTAAATATTTCAATAAAATTGTGACAATTAACAAAATGACATACTTGGAAAACTAACATAAATAAGTAAATGAAGCACTAGGTACTGTTCTGTATCTGTGTCCATTCATATGCCAAAATACTGATTTTAATCATAGTAACTGTTAAGCTTATAATCATTAAACTACACTGGCCTACAGTAACATACATTTGAAACTAGAACTGTGTCCAAAGGACACGGATGCCCCCACTGACAACATAAATATGGTATATAGTGAAAAAATCAGCAAAGGGCCATAATTCTGTTAAATTTGGTCGCAGCAAAAATTCCTTCCTTTACTACCATCTACACATTAAGTTTGTTCATCCCTGGAAGTTTAAGCAAAATCTGCCAACTGGTTTAAGAGGAGTTGCGTTCACAATATTTCTACATAGTATATAGTGAAAAAATCAACAAAGGACCATAATTCTGTTAAATTTGGTTCACAATATTTCGGGACATACGGACAGACAGACGTACGGACGGACAAGTGCAACGCTATATGCTCCCCACTTTGTGGAGGCATAAAAATGTTTAATTATTAAGATGTTTGTGTTGCAACCATAAAAGCCATGGACTTGAAACTTCATAGGATGATAGATCACATTAAGAAGAAGTGCAGTGCACAAGAACCCATTCTTTGCATTTCTTATTTTTTGAGTTATTGCCCTTTGTTTATTTTCATACTTTATTTTTGTCCAGGCCATTTCTCCTAAAGTATAAAAGCTATGAACTTGAAACTTCATAGGATGATAGATCTCATTAAGAAGAAGTGCAGTGCACAAGAACCCGTACTCTGCATTTCTTATTTTTTGAGTTATTGCCCTTTGTTAATTTTCATACTTTATTTTTGTCCGGGCCATTTCTCCTAAAGTATAAAAGCTATGGACATGAAACTTCATAGGATGATGTATCTCATTAAGAAGAAGTGCAGTGCACAAGAATCGGTACTCTGCATTTCTTATTTTTCGAGTTATTGTCCTTTGTTAATTTTCATACTTTATTTTTGTCCGGGCCATTTCTCCTAAAGTATAAAAGCTATGGATATGAAACTTTATCGGATGATAGATCTCATTAAGAAGAAGTGCAGTGCACAAGAACTGGTACTCTGCATTTCTTATTTTTTGAGTTATCGCCCTTTGTTAATTTTCATACTTTATTTTTGTCTAGGCCATATCTCCTAAAGTATAAAAGCTATGGTCTTTAAACTTAATAGGATGATAGATCTCATTAAGAAGAAGTGCAGTGTACAAGAACCTGAACTCTGCACTTCTTATTTTTGAGTCATTACCCTTTATTAATTTTCATACTTTATTTTTGTCCAGGCCATTTCTCATAAACTACAAAAACTATAGACTTGAAACTTCATAGGATGATAGATCTTGATAAGCAGTGCAGTGCACAGAAACTGCTGCTCTGCACTTCTTATTTTTTGAGTTATTGCCCTTTGTTAATTTTCATATTTCATTTTTGTCCTGGCCATTTCTCCTAAACTATATTGTTCACAAGGTGACACATCTGACTCACAGAGTTCTAGTTTTCAGTAAAATCATAGATTACCAACTAAGGAAAGAAAAAATAAATTAGTAAAATTTACTGTTTCAAAGAAGGAAATTCTGACCAGGTTTTAACAATACAGGAATGGCAAAGTTAATCCAGTTTTATATGTAAAAAATCTTATACAAGAGCCATTTGAACTGGGTGATGCTCCCCAAATAGGTTTTAGACACAGTGAAGTATAGTTTCTTACTGAAATCTCTGTAGTTTCAGAGTTATGTCCCAGACAAAGTAAATATGAACAAGAGGGCCATGATGGCCCTGAGGTCGCTCACCTGTATATAGGCCCCCCGAACCCCCCCCCCCCCAAACGTTGCAGGGCCAATTTAACCAAAGGGCTTTTATTTGCACAAACTTGTAGACACCATAAGAAGATGTTTCATGCTAAACATCTAAGCTCTAGCTCATTGGGCTATTTAAAAGAAGATTTTTAAAGTTTTTACTATACACATATAGTTAAAAACAATGACACCCCTGGGCCGGGCTAGTTATGACCCCAGGGTTTTTATTTGAACAAACTTTGTAGACACTTACTAGAATATGTTTCATGCTTAATATCTAAACTCTAGCTATTTGGGTTTTTTCAAAGAAGATTTTTAAGTTTTTGCTATACACATATAGGCCTAAGGAAAATCAATGACCCGGGGCGGGCCAATTTGACCCCAGGTCTTTTTTTGAACAAACTTTGTAGACACTCACTAAAAGATGTTTCATGCTTAATATCTTAACTCTAGCTATTTGGGTTTTTTTTCAAAAAAGATTTTTTAAGTTTTGCTATACACATATAAGGAAAATCAATGAACCCGGGGCGGGGCCAATTTTGACCCAAGGGCTTTTATTTGAACAAACTTGGTAGACACCTATTAGAACATGTTTGATGCTAAATATCTTAACCATAGCTCTTTGAGTTCTTTAAAAGAAGATTTTTTAAGTTTTTACTATATGCATATAATAGGAAAATCAATGACCCCCGGGGCGGGGTCAATTTTGATCCCAGGGCTTTTATTTGAACAAACTTGGTAGACACTTATTAGAACATGTTTCATGCTAAATATCTTAAGCCTCTAACTCTTTTGGTTCTTTAAAAGAAGATTTTTAAGTTTTTACTATATGCATATAGGGAAAATCAACTGACCCCTGGGGCGGGGCCCAATTTTGACCCCAGGGCTTTTTCTTTGAACAAACTTGGTAGACACCTATTAGAACATGTTTGATGCTCAATATCTTAGCCATAGCTCTTTGAGTTCTTTAAAGAAGATTTTTAAGTTTTTACTATATGCATATAGGGAAAATCAATGACCCCCGGGGCGGGCCAATTTTGACCCCAGGGCTTTTATTTGAACAAACTTGGTAGACACTCACTAGAAGATGTTTCATGCCAAATATCTAAGCTCTAGCTCTTATGGTTTTTTAAAAGAAGATATTTAAAGTTTTTTCTTTCGGTTGCCATGGCAACCAGAGTTCTGCATGGAATTAAATTCTTTGAACAATTTTTAAAGGTGACCACCAAAGGAACATTCCTGTGAAGTTTGGATGAAATTGGCCCTGTGGTTTATGAGGAGATGTCATTTAAAGTAAAAGTTTACGGACGACGGACGACGGACGGACGACGGACGGACGCCGGACGAAAAGCGATCACAAAAGCTCACCCTGTCACTTTGTGACAGGTGAGCTAAAAAAGGGCAATAACTCCAAAATTAGGCAAGGCAGAGTAACAGTTCTTATGCAATGCACTTCTACTCGATGAGATCTATCTACCTACAAAGTTTCTTGTTGATATCTCTTGTAGTTAGTACAAGAAAAGTGGATTGACAGGCAAAGTGGTGACTTTATGCTCTCCCTTTGGGGAGCATAAAAAATGAAAGTAATAGATCACAATAGATTATAAATTTTGATAAAACTGCTAGGTAAAAAAAAAATGTACAACTTAACTGTGAGGTTATGGGTTCAAACCTAGTCAGGGGCAAGTCGTTGTTTCCTTCAGCAAGAAACTTTACACTTATTGCTCAGTTGTGGTTGGTTCCAGGAACGGATTCGAAAGTAAGTTTATAAGCTTATAGCTTCCTACACAATCGAACTAAAATAAATTCTGTATAAACAAACCTGTGAGGACAGTAAATTTGGTCTTTCTGACCCGTGATTTACCACTGGCAAAGTATGCTTGTGTCTGGTATAAGGTGGCGTAGGGTATCACTGTACGTTTTGACAGATTGTCAAATTCCGCTGATATAGCTATTGATTCACCTGAAACAAAAATGATACAGAACTAGGTTTACTAACCACTGTAAAATTAATGACCTAAAAAAAATTTGAAAAATAAAAGCTATAGAAAAACTGTATTTTGTAAAAACCTTATTTAAATGCATTTTAAAATTCCTTTTCCTTTCTTAAATATCATGGTAAAAGTAATGTAAATGTAAACTGACTCTACTCTATACTGCTTTGTGGTGGTGATGTTGGTAGTTTTCACTTTGAATCACAGCAGTAAGCCACATTGAATTTACCAGAGCACAGTTCAGCCACCGCATCATTCCTGGACAGGCTGTCAAGCAGTTTACCAGTACTATTTGCCTTAACTATTGAAAAGAACTGATTACTTCTGTACATGTCAGAGGAGAGGTACATGTACAGTGCTAATGAACGTAGAAAGGATTTCATGACCAAACCAACAAAAGTGACATAATTATCCAGATTGCCCGATTCACAGTCCAACACTCTGCCATACTGCTTGGTACTTTGGTACTGAAACCCTTAAAACAATAATGGACTGTTCAAAGTTCAGTTAAGCAAACTTAAGGACAAGTCCATTTTACAATTTTAGTGTTGATAAAGTTAACTATACCTGGGCAATAACCTTTGCGGTCAGTTCTTGCTGTGATAGATATAGGTCCTGAAGTAAACAACCAGCAACATAGTGTCTTTTCCACACTGCTCTCAACACATACCTGAATCAACAATATATAAACATGTACATGTGTGAAGAAATACGTAAGTAAATAATATGCATATAATGAAACCCCTGCATAAAGAAATGTCTGTATTATGTATGTATTACTTTCTTACAAACATTTTCATTTTGTAACAGGAAGATGCCAAAGCATCAGAAAAGATCCTGCCATGGCTGGGATTTGAACTTGCTAGCATCTAATTATTATACATGTAATACTCTAGAAATGAGCCTATGCATCAATTCCCTGAAACAGTTGTCAGTCTCAGAGGCTGTACATGTACTTATATTTAGGACGGTACATTTAGGTGTGCACTCAATTGTAACAACCTGCATAAAGAACCAACAAAAATGATTTTATGTGATTTCCTCAGAAGAACATACAATTCAAAAAACTTTTTTAACACATAAATATCTGCATTCCTAATGTATTGCAATAAAAAAATTCTAAACATATTTCCAGTAAAACTACCATAATTATTATCATACATGTAGATCAAGAATATGTAATTGTACAAAATTGCCTTTATATGATATTACGAGGTATTTTGTAACCCCCCACCCACCCCCTTAAAAAAAAAGTTTCTAGTCTAGTAATATAACATATTTTTTCCAGTCCTGTTATGTCAAAAAAAACCTTAGTGGAGTCCCTTTAACAAGGTACAGTCATATACATGTATGGTCATACCCACCTGATATTCTGGCTTATTTATATCTATAGGACTTATAACTGTGAAGGCTTTCTTTGTTTTATTGTTGAATCCCCAAGGTTTGTCCATTTCTGCTTTCAGCCAGTATCTTATATTGCCATGTTTACCTTCAAATGATGTGGCTATGCCCCTGAAAAATATAAACATACATGAAAGAAAAGTTCAAAGTAAAAACTGCAAATCTTAATGTAAAAGTTAGACTAGTTTTTTAAATAGCCAATCAGTAAGAGTAACAAGAGTAATAAATTATAACACTAATAGATTATCATTATAAAAACAATACAGCCTATAAAAATTTGGTATCTTTAAACATGTTATTTATAAGTAAAATTATGCTTATAGAAAATATTTAAAATAAACCCTTTATCAAAAGCATTCATATTCATTTCAGGTATACTGTAAATATATGGGAAATACCTTTTTTATAATACATATGTACATGTATGCTGTAAAGTAAAAAGAACATAAAACAAAAAAGATGACCCTGATAACTATTGTGACAGGAGAAACAAAGACTTAACAAGGCTTTTCAGGGGCCCTTTCCTTGAATTTGGGGAAAAACATGGTGGTTTTGAAAATTTAAAGGTGGAGCATATCTTGATGTTCATTGAAATATTAAGGAAAGTGCATGATTTTAAAGAATTTTTCTGAGGGAAAGCAGCCCTTTAAGTTTAAGTTACCCCTGCTGAAGAATAAAAAAATGCACTTCTTTAAACACAAATTTTATCTATTTAAGACCACAAATAAGTAAGAATGGTCTTAATAAACAGTTGCTCTCTTTAGGTTAACTTGACTTGTTATCTTGGCTTATAATTTTAAGGTTTAGTAATTGTGTCTGATCCATTTAATGTTAATTTAGTACCTTTTAAAATCATATGTTAATACAAAATTAAAGATATATATCATTTTTATATGATATCATAATTACAGAAAATCTTTTATAAGTACATGTATTTAATTTAAATATTATTTTGTATTTTAACTTATAAAGACTTATAATGCTTGTCTTTAATTAAAAGAAGCAATATATTAAACTTATACTTGTACATACCCCATTGGAAGGTCAAACTCAAAATTAAACTCATGTCTTCCTTCAGTCAGCACATCTCTCCCTTCTGACACTTCTACAACGAGAAAACATGAAATGTACTCAAATACAGTGTTGTAACAAAAATTATTTATTACTTTATATATACATGTACTCCATTCATTTATAGACCCAGGCTTATAAAGTTATATACAGCTGTACATCATCACAGTACTCCACTTATTCATTATCATACTCATAGACCCACTTAGCATAATATAATATATATACATGTACAATGTATATGTAATTTGTACTCCACTCATCGTATAAATATACATGTACTCCAGTCATTCATAGACCCAAGCCTTGTAATATTATGCATGTACTTCAAGTATCATTCTATGTGTAATAGCTAGACCATCCTGAATCACATCTTTTTTCCTGAATCGATGCCAATCTTAAGTCTCATCTCCGAGGGGTTTGACATTAACGGAAGATAGATCTTAACTGTCTATATATGTACTTGATGCACAATTTCTATTGTTTAAAATTTATATCTTCAGACTTAAAACCTTGATTTTGTTTCTTTATAAATATCATATATATATCTTTTAAATATTTCTTTTTTTTCCATTTATACTGTCTTTATTTTTAGTGACTGATTACAGAACATACAGTAAAAAACATTACAGATGTTAGATATGTCAATTTAAAAAAAAAAGGAAGAAAATTAAATCTCACCCCCTCCAAACAATACTTGTCTTTTAAAGAAATATTCCACCTCAGCATTAAAATGTTCTGTGTATGAGCCAAGACGGCTCCCTGTACTTCTTGATTCTGTCCAGTGAACTTTTGCAACACCTCTCATAAATATCCTTAATGACCTCATTTTCATATCTCCTTTTAATTCCACTATTACTTTTCCAACAATTTTACCACCTGGGTGGAACACTGCCTTATTTTCATTCAAAACAATCTCAAAACCCTTCAATTTCCCCATTTTGTGCATTTTTAAAGCAATGCACCTGTTATTCACAGTAAACAAAAAACGTGTGTGCAAAAAATCGAAATGGTTTGCCAATCACAAATGAATCAACATCAAAAATTTGATTGAGGTATGTTTTTCTTCTTCTATCTAAAAACCCGGAAGTAAATTAACATTCCGTACGCGCGCGCGCATAATTGGTACTGAAGCTGAATGTTACTATTTATAGACTTAGGTATTAAACCACTATTAATTCAGTAAAGAATAGACCACGAGTCAATATAACAGCATTATTGACGTAACATATGAAAATATGCTATAAAAGTTAATTATTATCTCACCAACACTATAACCCAATAAATTCTTCGGTCAATAAAAAAATATATATAATTTAGCAGTCTATACCGTAACCTTGAATTTTCATAAATATCACGATTGTATTATTTCACTCACCACCGAAAAGGACGAAATGGCCAATGTCAAGCGTCTGCTAAGCAGTGTGTTGTCGGTAAAAGTCTTAATTTAACTCTTTTTAAGTGGCAAAAACTAAGATTTAGTAGCAATATAAGATATGTTTTCGTATGGTACCAAAAATTAGATTGTAAATCCCAAATATTCAATTTTTTCATTGAAAGCCAAAATAACTGTACATAATTCCGTCTAATCCGAATTTCGGTTATAATACTTTATATAGTATGCATAGGCTGACATTATTTAATAACTTAAGTAGAACATGCTGTATTATTGATTTATTGTCGTTTCATAAACCTTATCTCTGCATTGTTAAAGAACCTTTTGGAGGATGAAAATTTTAAATGAAACTCGAAATAAATTGCCAGCACATGTTTTGAACATTTTGAAATAATTTTTTGTGGGGACGAACTGTAAAAAAGTTGGTCCTTGTTTTGACACCTGCTTGTTGATTTGCATGTGTCAAAGAAAATAATAAATGTTTATTACTGCCAAAAAATTTCCTGAATTTTCATACACATTTTGATTATAAATGGCTTATGATTAAGTCAGATTGAGCAAGGTCTTTTAAATAGAATGGTCCGGAAATGCACTCTTCTTGCTATCCTGGTGTACGTAGTTCCGACGCACCTAAGAAACAATCACTATTTACCGTAACAAAATAAGGTGACAACTAACAAATTACCTAAGCAGTGAAAAATTTATTCATTTCTTCATCTTTTACAACGTTTTTCATTAACTAAAAACTATCGTTAACACAAAAATAATCAATATATGACAAGCATAGATTTCCAATATGGCGGATATGAGAGTACAGAGAAACGACGCATTTGATTGGTTTCTATATTTAATCTTACTAAAACGAAAGTACACTTCCTTTTCACTGCGAGAATAATGTACAGCAATTTTGTAAACAGCACGAAACATTTCAAGCACAAAAGTAAATAAATAAAAGATGACAATTATTTCAGTTAATCAGGATTTCAGTTTTTGAGAAGACTAAATTCAAACATGCTTTACAATGATAACAGGTAGACCAAAACAACAAAGATAACATCTGTTTTATTGCCCTACCACTCACAATTGTGCTAAAATATTTTCTTTCATTAGTAGGCGGCTTTTTACATGTCAGTGAGGTTTCTTTGTACAAGAAAAAAATAAGCAGGAGAGACAGTTTCAGATATATCAGGAGCAGTGTCAGACTCAATGAGTGGCTCATTTTCAGGCAGGAAAGAAGGTTTAAATCCTGGTCCTGGCTGGCTGCATCTTCTGACTGAGATTTCTCTTGCTGTTAATCAGTGAAAGAGAAGAGTTAGACTGGTTTTCAAAGGCTTTCTGAAAACAGACTGCAAAATCTTGGATAACAGTGCTTTATATTTAAATAGGCACTGAATTCAAGCTTACATATGTCATTATGTAATTTAGTGATTGACCTTCCACAGGACCAGTGTCTTTCAAATATAATTTCTATTTGAAAGACCCTGACAAGACAGGTCTCTCAAAATTTATGTCCGCACCTATTGAAATGTTTTTCAAAGGCCTGAAACAACCTATAGATATCCATGGGCTGTAGAACATTGCATGTATGAGCAAGTGAATAAGTAAAATAATCATTTCTTGTCTTGCCCATTGAACAATATTGAAATCGATGTGATATCTATGCTTATGATCATAAAATATAACAACTGGGCAAGATTCAGACCTTTCTGGAAGAAATCAGATGTGATTGGAGATATAGTTTTAATCATATGCTTCAATCACTCTCTGAAACAGTACCATCTGTCACAGGAGTACTACCATTCAGCAATGCTGAATTTATGCCAGTAGCAGATATACAATACAGCATATTGACAAGCAGTAATTATGTCTCTCTGCATTTAAAAAAAAATAAATAGCTGTTGTCATTGAAGTTGGTGAATAATTCCTGATCTTGACTTCAGGATCTGTAAAAAATAACATAGATAATATTAATAATAAAGCAACATAACAAGAAAAGAACTTAATAGAATACAAACTTTAATATAAATGCATCCATAAAGTCACACAATAATGAGCTAACGAGTACACCTTCCTACACAGTGAATTATATATTTGGTGGTCACATACCATGTCATAATACTATCTCATGGCTTTCTAAAAATAGCGGCGAGTTAGGTGTCGGCTGGTCCGACTGTCATTTTATCAATTTTGAGAAAAACTATACTTTCAAAATTATACAAAATTAGTAATAAGAAAAAAAAACACCATTTTTAAGTGTTTTTATTAAAAAGTACGAAAATATTACGTCAAAATCGCCTACTTTCCACATTTTCGCTGATAGAAATCACCGAAATGTTAACTTACAAAAAAGCACGGGAATGACGTCACACGGAAACCCCAAAACGAAATCGAGGTCAAAACAAAAATGGCGTCGTAATTAAGATGCGTCGAAATAAAGTACTGGAGGATACAATTAAACATTTGTCGGCAGAACTTGGTATAGTTTGCCATATGCAATAAATATAATAATAAGTAATTAATATTCAAGAAAAGGGCGAAAATTAAATACAAGAGCAAAAATGAAAATTCTAACGACATGATGTTCTTTAAAAATCTTTAAACTTGTGAAAAAAGGATAAATATTTAAGAAAATAATGTTTTTTAAAGTCTTATCTGTTGAAAAACATAGATTGCTTGTTCAGAAAATTTGCAGATAAAAGGCACCAGATTAAACATCAAATATTTGTAAATAACAATCGTGAAAACTTTTTACATGATACAATTAAATAACATTTTTTCTCTGTAAAATCAATTTCTATTTTCCTATTGAACAACGCATAAATTTAAAAAAGCTTATAAAACTCAGACTTATTTTGAAATATGAGCAGTAAATTTTTACCTTGACACTGGGAACGAAAATTTCATTGCAAATCTATAAAATTGTTCCTTTTTAAAGTAAAAACTAAGCCAGGATTAGTTTTCAGTAATTTTTTTGATCGTTTTAACAAAACATTATATTATAATATGATTTTAGAATGGTGATGTACTATGCCAGATCACAGTCGGTAGATAACCTTATCACATGATTCAGCCGAGACATTCTTTTTTCATAAAATTGGTCTGACTCCAGACCATTCTATTTTAAAGACACTGGATTGAGGTAAACAGAAATATTGCCCTTTTTGAACTTACAAAAACATTAGTGATTATCCAGCCTCTTGGCAAGCACAGATAATAGTAGAGCGTGCTGCCCTACTGACAGCTCTTGCTGTTTATGTAGTTCTATTTTTTTTAATGTTTATGTAAATAAAATATTTTTATCTGTATATTTCAGAGCTATGGGAAGCTTACACAAAGAAACTATAGCTCAGATGGGGTAAGTACAAATTTAACTCCAATATCATTCTCAAACAATTTTTGGTCACATAGTTTTTACATAAATTCTACAATGTCTAATTTAATCTGATCAAATGCATTTTTTTACTTACCTAGCATTTCCAATGAGATAATTTAAGATATGTTTTTTCCTTATTAAGAAGAAATTATTTTTTTTTTAATGAATTTTTTGAAATACAAAAAGAAAAAATGTTATGTTTACTGTCTCTTTCTCAGAGCGTATAGGATTCAACTGTGTCATTTCTTTACCATTTTATTGTGCAGCTTTCATTATTTTTACTTTTTCTATTAAGACAATTTGAATTGCTTATCCCAAAATTCAAACAGTAATGTTGAATTTTGGTGGAAATCTTTAATATAAGCATTTTGCTAGGAAACATATTAAGTATTTCTTGAAGATTAACTGTTGAAAGTACCCACACTCTCAAACAAATTTTCATTCACCTTGATTTTTGTTTTTGCAGAGGAGACTGGTTACTATGATACCAGGAGATGGTATTGGACCAGAGATATCTAGTTCAGTACAGAAAATATTTGGTGCAGCTGGGGTATGTTATTTCATGTTGATTGTAAACATTTACAAATAAGCTGCGGCATTGTAATATGCAAATGTCAAAGTTCCGACCATTTACCCAAATTCGAGGGAAGGGCCACTCTCCTGTCTGTAGAAAAAAGCCTTGCATATGTGCAACTGCCTATGAGCAGACAGGCTTGGCTGTAAAACTGGTGGCATAGACTTCACGTCTAGTCAGATCTTTATTTTATTTTTTGGTCCAAACCAATATTTGTTAAGTGTCTCAGGAATTATTTGATAGAATCTGTATGTCGTGCATTATATGCATGTTCTTACAACTTATTTTATCTCAGTAAGTAAACAATTTGTATCTAATTGCAGATTTATTAGTGTTAAACTACCTTTAGTAATCTTAGATAGTTGGATAATATAATGATCATGTTTAGAATGTTGACCTAGCTAGATCTGTAATTGTGTTGCATATATTTTCAAGTTCAACAAATAACAAACAAAAACATAGTTTTATGGTTCTACTCAAGCGCCAGACTGCTCATGCCTGAAAAGATGCATGGAGGGGGCACCTAAGGCCTTCCCCCACCACTTTAGTTGGAAAGTTGCCATATGACCTTACTAGGGTTGGAGTGATTTTGAAAAACAAGGTGAGAAAAAAAGTGAATTGATTGGGTGAAGAGATTTGAGAGGTGTTATTTTGTGTAACTAATATAAGAGGTTTTATTTCTTGTTTTTAGGCACCTATAGACTGGGAGGAAGTGGATGTAACACCTGTAAAAGGGGCTGATGGGAATTTTCATCTACCACAGAAAGTTTTTGATTCAATGGCAGTGACACAAGTTGGCTTGAAAGGGCCACTGGCTACACCAATTGGCAAAGGACATAAATCCCTGAATTTGGCACTTAGGAAGTAAGGAATAAATTTTATTTTGCACCTAACAGAGGGATGCTGTAAGTTTTGAAATGTTAGCCAGCGCCAACAGAATAATCACTTAATTTCAGGCGGCAATGTGTTAGTCTTTTTTATCTCTAAAACAAAAAGTAACTATAAAAAAAGACCAACATAGTTTTATTAGATTTTAGGTATTTATACAATTTAAGACATCAGATAATCATTTTTGTGTTTGTTTATTTTTGTAGAGCATTTAATTTGTATGCCAATGTCCGGCCATGTAAATCTATAGAAGGGTTTAAGACACCATATGATGCTGTAGATCTAGTTACTATCAGAGAGAACACAGAGGGTGAATATAGTGGTATAGAACACACAGTAAGTAAATCAGATAAATAAAATAGAAATAATAATATAAACACAATATTTTTGAATAAATTGATACAGTCAATTAGTTTTAGAAACATTTAAACTGTGGAACATAATAATCTTTAACAAAAAGCCAATTATTTACGAAAGTTGCAAATGTTGCTTAATATATATACGCCTTCTGATACATATATTATTATGTATGGTAACCAAAATTTTTATATATATTGTACACTTTTTCTTGGAGGCAAGAAGAAAAATAGGCAATATTAAGCAATATTGAAGACTTCATGTTTGTTGACAGTTACCTCCCTTGAACAGTATTAGGAATGCGTTTTGCTGTAACCCACCATATGTATTATATGACTTATTCTATTCACTGTTCCTTAAACCAAATCATGGCAAAACAATTGTAGTTAACTGCTTAATAGTATACTATTAACATCCTTTACAAACTACACTGATTTGAAGATGTATACACTATTGAGCTATATATGAATTAATGATAACTTGAATTTATCTATTATAGATTGTTGATGGAGTTGTTCAGAGTATAAAGTTGATAACAGAACAAGCTTCTATGAGGGTGGCAGAATATGCCTTCAAATATGCCAGAGATAACAACAGAACCACGGTAGTTGCTGTTCATAAAGCTAATATCATGTAAGTCCTACTCTAGTCTCACTGTTCTAGAATTAACTTTTACCTAGCCGGGATAGAAAAGGATTAGCCTTTGCCACCAGTATAGAGCCAGGCCAGCCTGTACTTCCGTGCAGTCTGACCAGGCTCTATACTGTTGGCTGTCTGACCAAGTTTAAGTTTTCAACTTGATATCCCCGTAATTGATATTGGACAGCTCCAAATATAGAATCTGGACTAGACGAATTAAGAAATTCAGCAGGGTATAGGTTTAACATAGGAACTTTTTTTTATCTTGTTGCCGTAACAACAAGCTATATAGACAAATGAGCATGTATGTAAAGTTGAACCAGACTGTTGTTTTCAAACTTTTATATAATGATGTTTAAAATCTTTTTAACTTGCAGAAGGTATTTCCAATGTTAAAGAAAAATAACTTCTTATGAACACTTTTTCATATCTATTTTTCTGTGTATCTGGCCATTCGTTGGTCCTCGTTTATAATTAGCTATGCACTAAATCTCCTGCTATGTTATTGAACTATTTTTTTGATGGAATAGGATGCAATTTGTTCATGATAAAACTCCGTCTAAGGCTAATTATTTTGTGTGTATAACCAGTATCATAAGATAAAAGTCCTTTCCCTTTTCTTGCACAACTCTTACACATATTTTTTTGTACTAACAGTACTTTCAAAAGTCAATATTTTTATAAATGCACTTTGCAGGAGAATGTCAGATGGGCTGTTCTTGAAATGTTGCCGGCATGTTGCAGAAAAGAACAAAGATATTAAGTTCAAAGAAATGTATTTGGATACTGTATGTTTAAATGTAAGTATTTTGCTTCTTTTTTGTCAGTTTTGCAAGTGCAAGGGAGGTAACTAGGTACTTGACTGATAAAATTCTTTAAAAAGAGTTGTCTCCCTTCCCATAGATTTTTTAATGAATTTGGTCTTCTTTTCTGATTGAATTTGCAGTTTTTTGCTTGTTCATAACACATCTGTAAGTGATTTATGTGATTAAGAGACTATGGAAACACAATAATTATCCTCCGCCGAAAGGCGATGGGGGATATAGAAATAGTCTTCGTCTGTCCCTCCGACCGTTTTTGTCTGGAGCATATCTCAAAAAGTATTTGAGGTATCAACTTGAAACTTCAAGGGTGGAAAGATCATATTCATTATTGAGGAGGATTCCAGTGCACAAGAATGATAACTCCACTATGCCTAATTTGTGAGTTATTGCCCTTTGTTATTTTTCAAACTTAATTTTTGTCCGGCGCATAACTCAAAAAGCCTTTGAGAAATCGACATGAAACTTTAAAGTTGGATAGATCTCACAGAGGAGGTGTGCAGTGCACAAGAATGATAACTCTACTTTTCATAATTTTTGAGTTATTGCCCTTTGTTATTTTTCATACTTTTTCACCTGAGTGGAGCATTACTCAAAAGTCTTATAATTTTTGAGTTATTGTCCTTTGTAATTTTTCATACTTTTTGTCCCGAGCTTATTTAAGGTATCAACTTGAAACTTCATTAGTGGATAGATCATATTGAAGGGGGAGTGCAGTGCACAAGAATGATAACTCTACCCTGCATAATTTTTTAGTTATTGCCCTTTGTTATTTTGCAAACTTAATTTTTGTCCAGAGCATAACTCAAAAAGCCTTTGAGATATCAACATGAAACTTCATAGGTGGATAGATCTCACTGAGGAGGTGTGCAGTGCACAAGAATAATAACTCTACTTTTCATAATTTTTGAGTTATTGCCCTTTGTTACTTTTCATACTTGATTATTTTTCACCTGAGTGGAGCATAACTCAAAAAGTCTTTGAGATGTCAACATGAAACTTCATAGGTGGATAGATCTTATGGAGGAGGAATGCTGTGTGCAAGAATGATAACTCTTCCCTTTATAATTTTGAGTTATTGCCCTTTGTTATTTTTCATACTTTTTGTCCTGAGCTTATCTCAAAAAGTGTTAGAGGTATCAACTTGAAACTTCATAGGTGGATAGATTTCATTGAGGAGGAGTGCAGCTCACACGAATGATAGCCTACCCTGCATTATTTTTCAGTTATTTCCCTTTGTTATTTTCAGCCATCAGTATTCACATAGGTTTCAATAGCTTTCATCACTCAAGCCATAAGTTTTCATTACCAAAAGACCCCTTAAAATTGAATTATTCTGCTCTACTACATATATATTCTTACAATGAGCAAACACATTCGGCGGGGGATGGCCATGATAACATGGCTCTTGTTTTGATTTAGTCTCGAAGTGGAATATTTTTGTCAAACTTAAAATTGTTTTATGTTTATAATCTTAATTATTTGATCCTTTCTTTAGTAAGGACATTAAATTTTAAATATTATTTCTGTATAAGAATGAATGTATTTTCTTTATTATGAAGGTGGATAACTACATGTTATGTTATAAATCAGATGCTTAATGCGTATTTGATACATTTGACAGGGTTCGAATTTAGCAATATTTACTACTAGCTAAAATTAGCTTGTCCATTTTATGCTTACTAGCTAAAATAAAAAGTGACTAGCTGAAATTGAGAACGCAAATTTATTAAAATATGATGTACAAATCATATCAAGTTCTCGGGCCATATAGCCATGTAGATGGCCTCTTCTTTCTCTAAACATTGCATTGCATAAGGTGGTTGTTATAAAATGACAACAGTCATAAGCTTTTGAAAAAAACTGACTTCAATATGAGAGAATAATGCCATGGATCATGTAATGTTGAAATAGAATGTCTATGCTAGTGATTAATAAATAGACAGAAAATCTAATTAAATATAAATCCTTAGTCTAGATACTCTGTCTGCAGGTGCAAACATTTTACATGTTTTGCAGGTCATTTGAGTCACGGTTGATGAATCACCCATGACAATATCCAGGTGAACATTAACTTAAGTTCTTACAGTTTTCAAGCTTGCAGTTACTGCCTTCTCAGACGTTTCCTTGATATTTAGATGCAATAGAATCTCCATCAGATTTGTCCGCCGGCTGTTTCGTCATTAGAAAATTCGTTATAGACTTTGAGACATTTTAACCTTGTTTATTTCATGTGATAAAGTCAAGCATAACGGACCGCCTATAAGACTGAAATACTGTTCGGAAAAGGCGTAAAATGAAACAAACAAACAAGCACAACGGGAATCGGATTTTCCAGTACATGTCTATTTATAAAGACCAATCAGAGACGGTTACAAAATTATCTACCAATCGTAGTCGCGGGTACCGATTGACATCATTTTTTTCACGCACATGCCCAAAGAATGGGCACAGGAACTTGAAATTCTATCACTATTAACGATAATATGCGAAATATACCCCCTATATAACATATAGGGGGTATATTTGGAAATTATAATTAATATTGGTTATTTGATAGAATTTCAAGTTCCTGTGGAATGGGCAACCCCCTAAAAATCGGATTTCCGCAATTGGATTTATAGCGAAAATGCGCAAGACTGTCTTTATTTCGCGGCGTTATAAGTTTTGTTTCAAATTTTACACAAACATTTATTGAAAAGAAGACTTTTATATATTTGGGTCCTTTTTTTATTCACTCGCTAATAAATGCGAGTGTCTTTTATTGTTACTCGCTATTCAGAATTTCTACAAGCTATTAGCGTGTTTGCGTGCCTAAATTCGAACCCTGTTTGAATAAATTAAAATGGAAAAACTATAGGAAAAGTATAAATAAATCAAGACTATGTCTACAGACTTAAAGTTTCGTAAACAGTAAAGGTAAAATAAATTCTGTATAATTTAAACTATATGAAACAGTGGTTGACATGTCAGACTAGTAACCTATTATAGCCATAGATTGCTGATGACTTGGGTTCAAACCCCATGAGCAAAACACTTAAAACTTGTTTCCTAGTACTCAAAAGTCAAATATCAAATGTCACAGAGAAATTACCCCTTCTCTGAGGATTGAACCAGTTAATTCTGGATTACTAACACGATGCTGTCCCTAAGCTAAGCAGGCTACCACATTGGATCATTAGTCAGTCACTTATTAAAAAAGTTATTAAGTTATTCAGTAAAGCCTGCAAATTGACAACCAATTGACAACCAAGATCCTAATCATGTGTTAATATTGACGTTAAAAACAAAAAAAAATAACAAGTTTGATTAGCTGAAAAGAAAATGTAATTTTCTTATTGTTTATATTTATAGATGGTGCAGGATCCCACACAGTTTGATGTTCTTGTGATGCCTAATTTATATGGTGATATTTTGAGGTAAGTGAGTGGTAGAAATAAAAAAACCTAATTCTAGCTATATACAGGAATTTTTTCCTTATATTTTACAGCCGAATAAAGGCTGTTTTCCCTAGCCCAAAATAGGTACATTTTGTACATTGTATATTTCCACCTAAAAATGCAATAATTTTCCCCTGAAATGCCCTGTGCAAATTTGTCACCATAACTGTGACTTAACAGCATTCTGACTTATATGAGTTAGTCAATAATTTTAATTGAGTGAAAGACAGAAAGTTGTCTGTATAGATAGCCTGCATGTTACATTGAATTGAAAAAAATGTATGAGTAAATTCCATTCTCAGTTGTTGGAATTTCATTTCAGGTTTTCCCCCTTTTCTGATTTATCTTGCTATATTTTCCCCTTCAGAAAGCCACAGGTTGTTTTTTTGTAAATTTAAAAAGAAATCACTGATAATAACTTTATAATATAAAGGTATATATTGCTATATATTTAGAAGTATGTATTACTTATTGTTGTAAACATACAATGGTATCTTGTAACAAAAGCAAGTATTATATTCCTTTAGAGATAGCTTATTATGTAGCAAAAAAATTACAACTGCTTTTTTTAAATGGACTAAGTTCACTTAAGAGTAATATATATAAGGTGAATACAAAGAATGCAAGGACGGGCACCTGAGGTTTTCCTTCACCAGTTAAACTGGAAAGTGGCCACAAGACATTTACTGCGTTGCCGTTGGTATGAATTAAATCCCCGTAATAAACAAAACAAAAACACACACACAAACACACACAGAAAGGAAGGTACTTGAAAAAGGGAAAAAAAAAAGAAAGTTGATATTGTTTATAATGGCCAAACTGTTTGTCAGTGTGGTGGTGAGCCAATGAAAACATTAAATTAATTGTTCAAAAAAAAAATTTAAATAGAAATTAATCATAAAAAATTCAACAATAAATTAATTATTTTTAATAAAAGTAGTGAGACAAATTTCACTTATTTATGTGCACGAGTCCATTTCCACAATTCATTAATTTATTCTTACTGAAGAAAAGTAAGATAAGTGGTTTGTGTTTACCACAGTAGTGAGCTATTAAATGATGTTGTGGTTGACTAACAACCACAGGAAACATTTATAATTAATAGAATCCTTGTCTTCATGTTGTCAGGTTGACAGCAGGCATTATATCTGTATTAAGATCTACACCAGATCATGTTTTATATTTATATAACTGTAAAAAGTGGTGTGTCAATGGCCGAGTGGTTAAGGTTGTTTACTTCAAACTATTTGCCCCTCACTACTGTGGGTTAGAATCCTGACAGGGAATTACCGGTAGGATACCTTCATGTCCGGAAACAAACTTGTTTTTGCAGACACCTTCATATTTTTCTATAGCAATTGGTCTCAGGCTTTAAGTTAAATGGTTATTTATTACTCACCACTTATGAAAGAATAAAGATGAAAACAGTTTCGTCTCCATTGTGTGACAAAAAAAAACACCCTAACTTTTAACTAATTTTATGTGCAGTTCTATTTATAATGAGAAGTTTTTTATATGTATATAATGTATATATTAAGTTACCACGACAGTTTGACATGGAGATATAACTCTACATGTCACTTCAAGCTGTAAGCTTTTCAGATGTGTGTCAAAATGTATCAAACATTACTTCTTAACATCAGTGTTAGTCACTGTTCCAAACTTTTTTTTTAAAAAAGGTGAAAGGTTATGTGTGTTTTTTTTAAATCTTAATCAGTTGGGAACTTAAGTTATTAGCTTTTGTCTCAAATATTTATAGTTGAAAGGTTTTGTGTTTTCTAGACTCATAACAAGCTTGAACCTAAAGTTGTTCTCATCTCTCTTCAGTATTCTAGCCAGGCCAGCCTGTACATCCATGCAGTCTGACCAGGCTCTATACTGTTGGTGGCTCAATTTCAGTATTTTGATATTGAAATCTCTTAACCTTAATATGGACTGTTCCATTATAAATGCTGGGCAAAAAAATTCAGCAGGTAGGTTTATGGACATTTTGTATTTTGATATTGAAGTCCCTTAAACTTTGAATGGACTTCTCCATTTTCAAAGCTTGGCAAATCCTTTTTAAAAAAATCAGCAGGTCAAGCTATAAGCCTTGCTCGACATCTTTCATTTATTACATATTTTATATTGTCAGTTTTTTTTAGTACAAACAATTTTACCATTACACTTGTCAATCAAAAGCATTTGAAAGAAGATTTTGTTAAACCTAGTGATCTGAACAATAAAAGGGCACTGTTGTGGTTTGTTATACGTGTGTGGGTATGTTTGTCATATGTTTGTCATTAACTATCATCTGCTGATACGGCTTAAAGATCAAATTAAACAATAAATCTAATGTTAATATCACACGGCTTTTTGCACCTTCTATAGCATGGGCCATCATGTGGCCTATTCTCCTCTGGAACACTCTAAAATCATTCAGTTTTCCCCAAAAAATTTAGTTATCATATAGTTTTTCTTTCCCTTCATTGCAAAAATGCCTTGTTATTTATTAAATCTATTTTAACTTATTGTTGCATCAATAACAAACAGAAATATCAGCAAATATTGAAACCTGTTACCCATTTGTGTGACATTTTATATATTTATAATTATCTATTTTTCAGTGATTTGTGTGCAGGTCTGATAGGTGGTCTTGGAGTGACACCTAGTGGTAATATTGGTGAAGATGGTGCCATTTTCGAATCAGTAAGCTCCCTTTTACTTCTTTTGAATTTTTTAAAGACATATAATATTATGTATATCATATTTACTGAAAGTCACATTCTTTTATACTTCTTAGAAATGAAGTGTGGTAATATTGTGCTCCGGAAAAATAATCTTTTGCTCAAAAGTTTTTCATCCAAAAGTAACAAAATTGTGCAAAGTTGAGCGGGGGATTTTACACACTATTTAGGGTCAGTAGTAATGTTAGTTTTCAAGTTAAAGTGCATTTTGTTTACACTAGGTTATCCCCCCTTTTGTTTCTTTATTGATTTTAAATTTAATAAATATAAAAATTATAATAAAAATGCATAATAATCCTTGTACTTTGCATAATGGTAAACAAATAGATACATTACATCAATTACAAATATTGGTTTGATTTATTTATAGGCAGGTTACCTCCCTTTAGTTGGATATATTCATTAAAAATGTAACTGAATTATTTTCATTCAATCAAAATGTAAAGGAGAAAGTAATATAAGGCCTAATTAAAGTAAATTTAATAAGAAAGAATACACAATTAATTTCCCTTCTATGAAATAATATGTGAAAATTGGACTAAAAAATTTCTTTCATAATTGAAAAGTATGAAGATACCATCATATAAATTGTTACTTGGAGTAGATTTTTGCATCATATCCATTATACTTTGTGTGGATTATTGTTAAGATAAAAACAAACTAACCTTTCTTGTGTTGTATAAATTTTGGTGTTTATTTAATATTTAGCCATGTACATCTATAACTGAAAAATAAACAGAATGTCAATTTCATGTTCTCACAATTGTAGAAACTTTATGGTACAAAACAGGCATTGGATTCAGTATTTTCTTGCCTGAATTTTGTCATTATTTTATCATGTAGAACAGAATCAGTTTTAGATTAATCATTTAACCCTTTACCTGCTGAAACTGAAAGTGATAAGCTTTTGCCACCAGATAAAGTCCGGTCCGCATCTATACATACATTCTGGCCAGTGTCTATAGTGTTGGTAGCTTAATTTTGGTATTTTGGTATTTTGAAATACCTCAAGGTTCATATAAGCTTAATTTTGGTATTTTGGTATTGAAATACCTTAAGGTTCATATAGACTGTTCCAAATATCACAGCTGGGCAAATCCATTACACACAGTCAGCAAGTTTAGGGTTTATACCACTTGGTAAAAGCTGAATTGAAAGAGAGATAAAAAACACAACATATTTTTAAAAAATCTTATTTAGAAAATATTCAAAATTATTTAATATAAACATAGAATTTATGAAATGCATAAATATTCACAGTCAAAGTGACACTTTGCATGACATATGTAAAATGCATCTTTTTACTGTCACGCATACTATTGCATTACTAAATAGGTGTTATTTCTACTTATTTTAACACAGTAATGATAATGAATGTGCATTGTCAGTGCCTAAAGCAAATCAGTAAATCACTAAATGCGTACACTTGAGAAAAATTTACATTAACTGCAACAAATTCCGATTTTCATAAAATTAAATATGAATTTGGATAGGTACATTAATTTTTGCATGAATTTAACTAGCATGGGTGCAGGTTTTTATAGAAAATGTATTCCCACTAACCTAGTTGAAAAATAACCTATTTTGATATTTCGGTAATGATTTACAAAATTGATAGATCACATTTGTCTGTGTCAATATGACAACACAATACAGGTGACTTTTAACAAGTTCCGTGTTGCATTTAAGCGCTACTTGAAAGGTTTTCATGCACGTAGAATGCATTATATAGCGTTTGAAGCCGACCTTTAAGTTGAAAGGGGGCGAACAATCATTTTGACTGATTAGATTTAAAGTGTAAATCATGAGATTGCACATCCAAAAAACGATGTATGAAAATACAAAAATGCGATACAAGAGGTCGCTGCAATACAAGTTAGAAATATAAATCTCTTTTTGATTGACAGTTAATGGGTATAAGCATGAACATACATTTTATTCTTTTGCCTATTATTTAGTTGTTTAAATTTTTTTTTCTTTTGAATGGCATCATGATGTAGAACTTCCTCATTTGAGCCGCGTCACGACAAAACCAACATAGTGCGTTTGCGACCAGCATGGATCCAGACCAGCCTGCGCATCCGCGCAGTCTGATCAGGATCCATGCTGTTCGCTTACCAACCCTTTTACAAGTAGAGAAACTGATAGCGAACAGCATGGATCCTGATCAGACTGCGCGGATGCGCAGGCTGGTCTGGATCCATGCTGGTCGCAAATGCACTATGTTGGTTTTGTCGTGACGTTGCTCGTTTCTTGTCTCGTATGGGTTAATGTAGTCGACCTTGTTTTGTTATGAATGGTAAATTTATATGTATACGTATGCATATCTCTGACATATCAAAACATTTCTGCACATTATCTTGCATTCATTTATTCTGCTATGGATCAAGATGACGGTTAAAATGAATTTATAACCCATAAAAGTGATGTTACTCTTGCTATCTGAAATGAGGCCGTAATACCATTCTTATGTTAAAGAAGAAGTTATAATGTGTTGATATAAAATATTAACCTTAGACTTAAAATATGATAATTCAATAAAAATAGTGTTTACATTATTAATTGAAAATAAGACGTTGTTTCCATCTAAAGTTGAAATTTATTTTATACGTTATTATACAGCTTGCATTTGAATTTCATTTCATTATATACTTAAGGTAGATCTGAACCAAAACGTTTAAAGTAAAATTGTAAATATTTAAATCAGTTACAAAGCAAGACAATTTTTTTATGCAGAATCAGTTCAGAAAGGTTGAAATGATCCATCTTCTGTGATTTAAATTAAAAAAGATTTTCATATTCCTATTGAATTTTCATATTCATATAAAATTTTCATATTCCTATTGTTGATTGAATTATGAAAGGACATGTAGCTAGATTGCACATCCATGCATCTGATCAACCTCAAATTCTTTTGGAAGCTTTGTATTATTTTGATACTTATAATTAATATTCTCTCATTAACAATGGATTGTTATAAAATCAAAACAGGACAGGACTTATTTCATGAAGTCAGGGCGGTAAAAGTTAAAGCTGGTATGAGGCCTTATTTGACACTAATGGTGTGTGACTGACCTAGAAATCAATGTGAAAAAAACCCATTGATATTTTATTTGATTGTCGGTTATTTGAGACATTAACTTTATGAAATTTAAGCATATTAAATACACCATTCAGATGCACCTGTAATAAAATATTCGTGATTTATTACCATATTAAGTAAAAAAGTTGATTTGTGATTGACATTTATTAGAGCCATCCTGTCAATAGCTTTCCAACTTGATAAAAGTTATATGGTTGGTATTAAAATAGTACTGGGAGCTCATTAATATTCATGAGGGAACAAAACCGCTATTATTTTGATGTACTGATAAGTAAATTTTTTAAGATTTTTTTCTTTAACCTTTTTAATTCTTGACACTGTGGGAGTGTTTGTGTTGGATAAAATTTCCCCATGTCTGTCTTTTAAAAAATGTAATTGTTTTATAGTTGAACGATTTTATTAGGCGAAATTGATATAATAATACAGTCAGTGTTTGTTCTCGTTTCATACTAAATAAGTTTAGTTTATTTTATACTAATTTATTTTAGTTTGATTGTGTTGAAAGCTATAAGCTTCTTGAAACACTCTCGGACACTCCCAAATTCATTCCTGGAACCAACCAGTACTGTACAAAGCAATGAGTGTAAAGTTTCTTGCTCAACGGCTTGCCCCTGAAGGTGTTTGAACCCACATGGCCAGCAATCCTTAGATTACTAGTCTGACGTGTTAACAACTTGGCCATGCTGCTACTGTTTAAAGTGTTGGGATGCATGATAATTTACCCTTGTTGGTCCTGCTTATAAACTGCGGAAGAAAAGTGGATTGTGGGGGCATGACTGTGTGCTGTGGACACAATTTCACAGTTTACAAAAATGAATCTACCATATCGTTGGTTGTTATATTTTATTTTATATATTATGAACCCCCCCCCCCCCACTTCCTCTCACATTATTGACATTTCCAATATCTTAAATGGTCTTTTGTCCATCTGTCAGTTTCAGGGAAAAATTCAAAAATATGAACTTTCTGAATAGCAAACAGTGCAGACCCATAATAATGATCAGACGGCACTGATAAGATGGCTTATCCTGATCTGCACTGGTAACATGGGTAGAATTAGTTGCTACCAGTAGGCGTATAATTATAAGTATCAACCCTTCCCCCCGCCATCACACCAATAAGCATTATGGATCGTTCCAAATTCAAAGCTAGATCCACAAGTCCACTATACATAGTTAGGCATAAAGAAAATTTTTTAAAAGCTTCATAATTCGTCCCCATAGTGCAGTAACAGGTTTCACTCCTATTAAATTATATTAGGAATTAACCAGTTACTGCTTTAGGGTGACACGTATTATTGTGTTATTTTTAGCATCATGATTCATATGATCACAGAGTAATGCATGGATTAAGTGCAGAATCATGATAGTTCATGATTTACAGATGTGGTTGCTCTATTTTTAGCAACATCATTGTCATGATCGTCATTAAATGTCAAAATCTGCATGATTAAGGGGCACATAGAGTCAATAGATGCAACCTTTTTAGACAAACATCTAATTTAAAAATATCCGGAAGAAAATGAATTTGAGATACATTTGTAGAGGTGATTCATATAACATTGATATACAGTATGCAGAGTACATTGCAGTACATTGATATACAATGTGCAGAGTTTATTGTAATACATTGACATACAATGTGCAGAGTTTATTGTAATACATTGACATACAATATGCAGAATACAATTTGCTGTACATTGACATACAATATGCAGAATACATTGCTGTACATTGACATACAATATGCAGAGTTTATTGCAGTACATTGACATACAATATGCAGAGTACATTGACATTGACAATGTACATAGAATATCAGGAAATGATATGACATAATGGTTGTATTCATTCTTGGTTCAAAGCAAAGTAGATAGTCAGTCATATGTCAGTCATATGTCTCAAGGTTTTAGAGCACTTAGAAATGTCAGTATTTAATTTAAAAAAACATTTTTTTCATAGCTGAAATTAATTGTATAATGCCATTTTCAGAACGAGTTGAAGACACTTGTGTCATGCTTGTAATTTATTTCTTCCTAAATTTGTTTTTAAATGGAGTAATTAAGTTTATATCATAGACTTATATAGTGGCAGTACTGGGTCACAAAAATCGTGTTTTATTGTCTGGTTTTACTATCACGAAAACTCGTGACTCATGTGGACACTTTTTTTTTTTCAATGTGCAAAGTTTTTCGCTTTTTAAGTTTTCTTCATTATTTAAAGTTACTTGTCCATTTCCTGACACTTATGTGGTTTAAAAAACCGTTGTTAAACAAAATAACTAATGCTTTGTTGTGTTGTCTGATTCAGCCGTCCTTGAAACTAGTGGAAGAAAAATAATGATATAAGCTTACGATTCTTTTTGTTTTAGTCAGTTCCCGTCATTAACTAAATGTCTCTAACTCAGGTTGATGTATAGAAATGTATGATTATTACCTTAGGCTGTAGAGATTTTTTTTTCTTGTAAAAAATTAAAGGAAGCTGTGGGGATGATAATATGTTTCAGTTTTAAAAATGAACAAAACATGAATCAAAAAACAATCTTTTCATAATTTTGAATATATATAATATTAATTGAAATAACATCAAGCATGTAGTGTTTGGCATGATTGATTGGTTGCTTGATAGAATTAATGAACTAATTTATGTTTGAATGAAGAAATCAACCTTTTGTTAATTTTGAATATATATGACATAAATATTATAAAAAGTAGATTCAAGCATGTCTGAGTTTGGAATGAATGAACAATTGATTGATTGATTGATTGATTGATTGATTTATTGATTGATTATTTGATTGATTGAATTGATTTATGTATGAATGAAGAAATGATCAAATGAAGAAAAGAACAAATAAATAGACAAAGAAATGAAGCTTTGAATGAGTAAAAATATCTGCCAACTCCAAGGGGAAGAGTATTGGATAAGTACATTTTGTAATAAGGGATGACTGGTTCAAAATAAGGGATGACTGGTTCAAAATAAGGGATGACTGGTTCAATTCTTCGGCAAGGTAGGATTTGAAAAATGATATAACCTGTCCATTTGTAAAGAACATCTAATAACATTTTTACAAAAAATATGATAAAGAAAGTTTCAAAAAATTAAAAAAAAGACACAAATTTTATGTAGTTTTTGTATAGTGAATTCTGACAGATCCGGTGTTAGTGAAAAGGAATATTTTCAGAATTATCCTTTTAAAATTTTTGTGGTTTTAATTTTGTCAGTAACTTTTTACAAATACCATAAACTAAAGGGTTTTTAATTGACTTTTCCTGTTCCTTTGTTTTTTTGAAAGTAAATTGCTTGCGATGACTAAAATTTGTGACTTACATAATGTTAATAATCTCATAAACATTTGTATTTTGAACTTTTACCATGATGTTACTTTTTTCTTAGACTTAAAATTGACATTAAAATTTTGAATTTTTGAAAATTGTTGCAGTCATCTGGAGGCATGCAGCTTTAAAAGTTTGACTGTACACATCTATCAAAACTTTGAATCATTATAATAGCAGTGACATGTCATGCGTAATTCTTGATTACTAGTGACAGTTATTGGGCTTTCTTCTGTTTTGATCCAGGCCCATTATTACATTGTACTTTCTTTAAATCATTTTTTTTCTCCTCCTTCAAACATGTTCAGAAATTAAAGCGTGCAGACAACCTGTGATTGAATATATGAAGAAAGAGCACACGCTGTGAAATTAGTATGCACCACAGGTTAATTACATTTGTTAAGTACTTTGAAAAAATATACATTTGTATATCTGATTCATTAATCAAATTTTTTTATTTTATTTTTTTACATTATTAAGAATTTCAGGTACCTTTTACTTTTTGATTTATTTTCAAAACAAGACTGTACAGTCGTCATAGAATTTTAGTAGTTTGCTTTAGCTGTCCTGTTTTATTTCAACATTAAAGTAAAGGGTAACCATTTTCAATGAACAATCTATTAAAATGTAATAAAAAAATTTAAGACAAATAATCTGGCGGCCATCTTTATGTAATGCCCATAATTTTGATGATTATTTTATTTTAATAAACCTTGTTCTTTATTATAATACATGAAAAAAAGTTAAGAAAGTAAGAAAATGATATTATAGACTATAGGCATAGCAATGTCCTGGGTTTTCTTTGAATTTGGAATTTTCTTATGTCAGTTTCAAGGATTTGCAATGCTAAGGTAATTAAAGGGCGGAACGTAACACCAGCTGATATAAACTTGTTTTAAATAACTTTGATAAAAACTGTCAAATGAATATCTTTAAAGAACAGAATAAAAGCTTTCTTAACAATGTTTGAAATTGTTTAAAATTGATGTTTTTATAGGGGTAATTAAGCTATGAATTTGTTGATTTGCTTGCATGAAACTTGACAAACATTTTCTATGATACATGTATAAGGTTCTTATCATGATGAAAATAGTTAATCCGTCAATTTCAAACAGCCCAATTATAACTTTATAATCTTTTAATTTCATGACATAGCAACTTAATTTATAAAAGACACTGGTCAGACTGGAAGAAAATGAAGGCTGTTGCATATCTCAAATGGTAGTTTATGCTTACTAAGGTTTTGAAGTATGACTAAGGTCTTCCAGTACGTAGAGTCCAGAATTTAATTAACAACATTTGTCTAAATGTTTAAATCTTATATATATTAACAGGTACACGGGACGGCCCCAGATATTGCTGGTAAAGATCTTGCTAACCCGACGGCCCTGTTACTGAGTGCTGTAATGATGTTGAGGTATATGGAGCTCGGAGATTATGCCAGACGTATCGAGACAGCTGCCCTTAGTGTCATCAGAGACGGACAGGTAAATTATACATATATCATGATTTTTCATGATTAGGGATAGCTATCATACTCATGTCAGTGTAAGTGTCACCATCAAACTTTGTTGTTTTTTTTGCTCGTTTAAAGTTGGTAACTTTAAACAACTGAAGGGAATTGGTTAAATTTAAAAACACTTGTTCTCTGTGGTTTTTTAAAGTGATGGGCACAGGTCCCGTAACTTTGAGTCACCTTTTCACAGAGTAATGCCCCTTTTTTTGTACTGTCAAGCACTGAGAATTGTCAAATCTTACAAACAACTTTTGATGTTGACTTTGTATAATGGATTTTTCTTGCCTCTGAATTGGAACAAGTCTATTCAACGTTTAAGGGATTTCAATATACAAAAATACAAAAATGAAGCTGCCAAAGTATATAGAACCCTGATCGGATTGTACTTAAGTGCAGGCTCGCCAGTATGTTATACTGGGGACAAAGGTTAATCACTTTATTAAAGATATATAAAGGCGTTTAGTAGAGGAGAGGTGTAAATATACAGTATGTCCATTTACCGAAACTTGTGTCATTTAAGTTTCATTTCAAACTGTAATCTTCTTTGTGTAAAGTAAAACATACATCGTAACATTTTTATGATGTATTAATGCCTTTTAGCCTTACATACAAAAACATTATGCAATTTAAGTAATTATTATCAATTGTTCACATTTTTAATATGCTTTGAAATTAAACCCTCAGTACTGCAAATTGCTTAAATCAAGTGATTATCATCAATTGTCCCCACTTTTTTGACATGTCATAATCTCTATGAAACGAACGTTTTTGCCCTCGATTAAAACATAAAATATATTTTTAGATCTAATTTTCTTTACGAGCCGCATGCATCATGTGATATATTACATCTGTGCCACTCATTATCTCTATTAAAAAATACATATTCCTATAAATTTTAAAAACATATTTTGTAACATTTCAAAACCTTTAAAAAAAATTTCCTCAAAACATAAAATAGGCTTATTTTAAGTATTTAATAAGTAATAAAATAAAAATTTTAAAAGGAAATGCCATGTTGAATAATTTATTTATTTTTTCATTTTTGAAATAACTTTAAAATAACAGTTGTTCATGGGCCATAACTCTGCCAGATCTAATCCATCATTTTTTTTGTTTAGTTTTTGTGTGTTTACAATTAGAATAACAAAATATTTAATTTAATGTAGTTACAACTGTTTTTATAGCAAAGTTAATGTTAATGCATATTTAATGTATAGTTTTAATGTTCTGTTTATTTTTTAAATTTTTATATTTTATTTAGGAGACTATTTGATTCTTTAAAAGGTTAGACAACTCGTACCTTGCTAATTTATATAAGAGATTTGTCTTTCTTTAAATGTCTGTAAGCTTAGCTCAGTAGGAAGAGCATTGGATTTGTCATACCAGGGTCGCTGGTACGATCCTTAATGCGAGGCAAAACTTTTCCCAGATATTGAATTTAATGGATTATTGTCTGTCACTGCTAAATCGCAAATCAATTGGTCTATTGCCAAGAAATTATTTTGGTAATTACTGGTTAGTTACCCAGCACGGCTGCTTAAGTGGATCAACTGCCAACGTGTTGAAATCAGCATTAATCAACCAACGAAACAGACAAGGGCATAACTTCTACTTACTTACTCTTACAATTTACAAATTTTCAGGGTAGAGGCCCCTTAAATGGAGAAATTGTGAAAGATTTTTGTAATGATCAATCTGTAGTCTCATTCACTACTTATATCTTTTATTAATATATATTTAATTTAATGAAAATTATTTGACAGTTCAGAGAGCTTACAGAAGGTTGAAGATACCTCTAAACTGCCAGCATGTGCCTAAAGGCACACAAGGTCTTTATTTATAAAGTTTCCTTAAGACTGTTACAGTGTCCAATATGAATTAAAACAAATTTAAAAAAAAAATAACTATGTAAATTTGTTTCTGCCCATTACAGATTTTGACGGGAGATCTTGGCGGAAAGTCGACGTGTTCACAATTCACAGATGAAATTTGCAGGAGAGTTCAAGCCATAGAATAAAAACTTAATGATTTCAGACACCTTATCTTTTTAAAATTTTATTTCAAGTGATATGGTATCAGTATCATGATTTTACAGTAGAATGCTTAAGTGTTAAATAACATTAGCTAAAGTTATTGAATACCTCCCTGAAAACATGAATCTCACAAATGTAGAAATAAGATTTTTCCTCATGTTTAGTGCATTGATTTCCCATGTGAGGTGTTCAACTCTTTATTTATTTTTAACATACTGTACATAATTTTGTGCAGGGAATTAAATTAAGCTAATTTCACAAATTATTGATTTTTGATAATTGATTTTTGTAAAATTAAATAGTAAATGTGCTTTATTAGGGTTAAATCTGTGAAAATTTCATTGTTGTTTATTGTACCATTTATGAAGGTGTATTTATTAATTTATGGTTATGATATTTATTGCAATTCTGAACAAAATACATAAATTGAGAGAATATTATGCCTTGAAACATTACATTTTTATTTACATTTTTCTGAATATATAGTAATAGATTGTTTTGATAAGGTTTCATTGAGAGGACTTGTTGCACATAGGGGCTGATTATTATTATTGTTGAAAAAAAGCAGACTTAGTGCTAGCCTCTGAACCTTGTACATTGAATGGTATTAAAAATGGATATTAGCTTGTAAAAAATGGGTTTTATGTGAATGACCTGTCAGCAAATATAACCATACAATGTATTTCAAACACATTTTATACAGTTGTATATAAGTATCTACAGATAACTTATATTGTTATGCTGACAGTTTTTCCTTTGCTGAAATCCTTTATACATTTATATGAATAAAAATGGTAATGTTTGTGTTTTTGGTAAGTATGCATGCAATACTCACACTTAAGAAACAAATTTCCAGCAACAGAAAAACATTGCAATATGGCCTACAAAGAAACAAATTTCCAGCAACAGAAAAACATTGCAATATGGCCTACATAGATAAAAATCCAAAATACCATTTACCATGGAATAAAAGTGTATAAAGCTATATATTTGCTATTTGTGGATTATAGAATTATTGTTTATATCGTGATTAAAATGTTTACAGAATATATAGAATGAAAGAACTTTGTCAGTATATTTTATTGAAAGTGAGTAGGGCATGTGTGAAATCATCGTCAAAACCTACTAGAACAATTGCAGAATATTTTGTTCCAGAACATTTTATTTTGTTCACATACATTGTTCATGTTTATTTAACTACATAGACATCCTTTGCAACAAATCTTTCAAGAAATAACCATTAGATTATGAAAACAACACAATTTTACTGTTTTCATTTTTTTATATAAATATTTCATCAGATGTAGCTTTATACACTTTAATATGAGTCATTTTATCACCTGGGGCGTCCGTGGCCGAGTGGTTAAGGTCGTTGACTTCAAACCACTTGCCCCTCACCGCTGTGGGTTCGAATCCCGACAGGGACTTTGGATTCTTTCATGTGAGGAAGCTATCCAGCTAGCTTACGGAATGCGGTGGTTCTACTCAGGTGCCTGTTCGTGCCTGAAATAATGCACGGAAAGGCACCTGAGGTCTTCCTCCACCAGTAAAGCTGGAACGTCGCGATATGACCTATACTGTGTCGATGTGACGTAAAACCCAAAAAACAAACAACAAACATTTTATCACCTATTGCAATACTTCAAGTGTCATACCTCCTGAGTCCTGGCTGCAATATTAATGGGGTCTGTCAACTGTTTCAAAAGTGAGGCCATCTTGTACACCCATGTGTATTTTGAGTGGACCCTGTATACTGACAAATGTATATTCATCAGCTTTTTAGTACTAAAACCACTTAAATTAACATAATAATTCCACATGTTTGTATGGTTGATCGTGAGATTTATATAATCTATTTACATAATTTATGAATCAATTTTCAGTTCAAGCTTGAGTATTCCAAGAATTGGGAGATACCATATGAGCCACGTCATGACAAAACCAACGTAATGCGTTTGAAAACAGCATGGATCCAGACCAGCCTGTGCATCCGCGCAGTCTGATCAGGATCCATGCTGTTTGCTATCAGTTTCTCTACTTGTAATAGAGTTGGTAAGCAAACAGCAAGGATCCTGATCAGACTGCGCGGATGCGCAGGCTGGTCTGGATCCATGCTGGTCGCAAACCCATTATGTTGGTTTTGTCATGGCACGGCTCATATATTGTACTCACCCCAGCCTCTGTGTCACCATTGCACTTTGCTTAAGTTTTTGCGTGTATATTGGTATCTCCTAAATTACTGAAGGAAATGGGTTGTTCACTTGTTCTCTGTGATAATCTAACTTAAAGGGCACAGGTCCCATAACTCTTGTGTTACCTTTTAACAAGAGTTATACCCCTTATCTTACTGTCAAGCACTGAGAATAGTAGAGCTGTCTTACAGACAGTTCTTGTTTCTCTAAGAAAGTTTTTTGTTACACAAGTTTTATGGCCATGTATTGAGGGATGTTTGGCATATAACACACACCCATGAGGCTTGAGATATACATTATCTAACAACCATTTTTATTTTGCCATATAACATGTCTATAAAATCTTTATAGCTGGTTATACATGCACACAATTCCTAATTAAAAACAGGACACATCCATTAAACAAATGAAATTACAAAACTTTTGATTTATATACAATTACAACAATAGGTTTGTGATGAGCAGTCGCTTTATGACTCTCATTGCAGTGTTTATTATTTATTTAAAGAAGTCCCTCTGATGCAAGATTTTAAACATGTTATACTGTGCAATTCACTATCCCCGTTCAGTTATTCAGTGTTCTTGTATGTTGTATGCAGTAGATTTTGATGTGTTATTCACATTTTTGTTTTATTTAAAGATGTACAATTTTAAGGCATCTTAATTGTATTTAGATACACATGTTATGTATATTGTTTTAGTGCATTATTTTATGTTACAGCTGAAGTTTAGTTTTATGAGAAAGAGAGAGAAAAAAATATCACAGAAAAAAAATACTGTTAAGAATTAAAATTGTAAAAAATGCTTGGATTTGTTTCATTGTATTTTATCTTAAGGCCAGTCTTAGTATTAGAGTATCAGCAAATCATGTACTGTCAGGCACTAGTATTAGGCCAGGCCAGCCTGAATATCTGTGCATCCAAATATGTGCTGTCTGGCACAAGTTCAGAACTAGGCCAGCCTGAACATCTTTGTAGGCAATTATATACTGTTTGTCACAAATATAGTCAGGTCACCCTGAACATAATTGAAGGCATTTATGTACTGTTTATCAACGATTTAGAGCCAGGTCGGCTTAAACATAAGAACAGCCGATTATGTACTGTTTGGCACCAAAATAAGGTCAAGCCCACCTGAACATTTTTACTTTTAGCAGCCAATAATGTTCTGTCTAGGACCGTTATAGAGGCAGACCAGCCTGAATTGTCTGGCAAAGACTCTGAACAGATGAAGAAGAGCTGTTTGGCATAAGTATACAGTCAGGCTGGCCTGAATACCGAACAGCTAATTGTGAAGTTTCTGGCACCAATATAGTCGGGCCGGCCTAAGAGTATAAACAGCCAATTTTATGTACTATTTGGTACCATAATTGAAAATGGCCAGCCTGAATATATGTGCAGCTGAAACTGTGCTGTCTGGCACCAGTATGTTGTCCATCAGCACATATGAACAGCCAATTTTACAGTCTGAATATTTGAGAAGCCGATCTATTGGCATTAGTATAACCGATAATTTACTAATTGGTACTATTATATTTTCCTCTTTTTTATTCTTCTGTACTCCTTTCTAGTATACAATGTACTTTCCTCGCGTTTCTCTTTCAAAGGATAATTCTGTGAATTTCGTGAGCATGAAGGTTCGTGGTTTTATCACAAAAAACTTTTCGTGGGTTCTTAAATTCGTGCCTTCCCCCCCCCCCCCCCCCAACCAAAAGGTAAAATGACGAAATCGAATTCCTTTTTTCGAAAACCCCCACGAATAATAATGATTTTGCAGTATACATGAAAATATAAGCATACATTATTTTCATGATATCAGAGAAGTAAAATCGAGGAAATTGTTGTAATTAAAACAAAAAATAAATAACAAAACGCAGCATAATGTCAACATACATTTTGGCAGCTACATTAAACAACAGAGCTCTTTTGTCAAGCCATTTGTTGTTGTTTTATGTTGTTGTTTTTTTTCAACAACATTGTACACATACAACTGACTGTTTCCGTCTAAATTCTGTGTTTTCGAGGTATTAAATCTTATGTGAAACATGGTATTTACTGATTTAAATCTTTAGATGAAAATGTCAGAATTTATTATTAACATTTACAAGCTAATTACCTGACAAAATATATTGTTGTTTATGTCTAAGGAAACATGATGTGATGATAAAATTCAATGCAATGGCATAAAATATGTTGTTATATTTTTTTAAAGGAAAAGAGAAAGGATTTTTGGTTCCAGATGCAATTGCATAAAATAAATGTATATATGTTTTCTGAAAAGGGAAAAATTACGTCATAAGGAACAGTTGGTACCGGTCCGGTACTAGAGATAAGACATACAAATCTAAAAACGAAACTAGAAAGGAAAAATACAAATGTATCCTAAAATTCTAGAAAAAGTCTAGATGTTCACCATATATTTGACGCTCAGCATGTTTTGTGCATAAAAAATATGCTAAAAGTCTGGAAATAGTGTCTTTTCTAGGAGGGGGATAGGGGATTAACTCATATTTTTGAGAATCCCCCCCCCCCCCATTATCAGAGGCAGGGTGGAAATTTTACATACAGTAGAGCAAAAAGGAAAGAGTTCATCAAAATTTAATGAAATAAATTTTCACCTGGGAAATTTTGTAGATACATTGTATTTTTAATTTACAGCGTCGTGCCATAAATAATTAATGAGTAAAGTTTTTTTAATGGCTACATATACATGTATATATCTTTTATACACAGCGGGTGTATATATGAGCGCGGTTGTATGAAAAACCCAACTTTTTTAACTGCGTTTTGGGGCGCCCTAGCATTGGGTTTGGAACCAGCCTGGGGAAAATCCCGGCGTAAAAGTCCAGTGAACATGACAAGTTTCTAACTTGAAAGAGTTGATTATATGGCGAAAAGAAGGAATTGATAGACTATTTCGGTTTTGCGGCAAAGGGGACAGGGAAAAATCCACAGCTGGCAGCCAAAACACATTATGGTTTGGTTTTGTAATTGACCCTGACTCAATAAGTATTGATTTTTGATGTTAGGGGGCAGTTTGAAAAATGAAAATATACATTTTAATTTTATTTTTGACCGGGGGTTCATTTTTTATTGTGGTGGACGTGAAAGTTAAATAACTTTGCAATACAGAGTTTTGAAAGAGCGCGGTTATTTAAATCACTATTAATAGTGGCTAAATACGGTCGTGAAATGTCCAGTGAAATGAACAGAACTATTATTGAGCTAATTGAAAGCGGATTACATGCAAGGGACGGCAGAAAAAGATTAGATAATTAGTGAGAGCACCATTTTAAGGATTTTGAAGCGGTGGAAACAAAAGGGAGACATTGAAAAAACCCACAGACCTGGCAGACCAAAAGCAACATCGGATCGCGCCCACCGCACTTTGTAAAGGATTTTAAAAACAAATCAGCGATTTAGTTTGAAGTGTAACGTTATTACCGGCAAATTTAATGAGATAACACCTGTGAAACTTTCTACTCGTTCTGTACAGAGGAGCCTTCATTTCTTTGGATATAAACGACGATCCGTCCGGAAAACCATACCTAGAATAAGGACTGTTATAAGACAAAGAGGTTAGCATGGTGTAGAGGTAAAGTACATTGGACAACTGAAAATCAATGGAAGGATGTGATCTTTAGTGATGAAATGATGGTTGTTATCAAACATGACGGGAAAACAAAAGTTTGGAGAATTAGCCTGGAAAAGTAGCGACCTTCAAATGCTTAGGATATGTTGCTGACGAGCTGGGGTTGCATTACTAAATATGAAATTGGAACATTAGTAAATGGTAAAAGAACTCTGAACAATACATTGAGATTTTAGACTCCAATCTGTGGCAAGTTACTGCGGAAGTATTTGATGTTAATACCTGACTCTTACAGGATGACAGCGCTCCCTGCCACCGCTCCCGACAGTCCGAGGAATGGAAAAATAGAATACACCAACTCAGTTGGGCCCCACAGATTTGAGTCCTATTGAAAATGTTCGGCAACTGATGAAAACTCGACTATATCTAATACATAATGTCAATGACTTGAAGGCTCAATTGTTACATGTGTGGAATGAGGTGCAATACATTATATCCATTCAGAAGCCGTATACCAGTCTATCCCGAAGATGTTGACAGGTCATTATTCAGAAAGGAGATATAACAAAATACTAGTTTCATCACATCATTTTCAGGTTAGTAAATCAATTTTATAGAGTTCATACATTTACATGCATGCATTTCGTTAACTACCGCGCCGCCCACAAGTGCTTGAAACAAACTTTTTTATGTTCTATATGGGCTATACAGTATAGTATAATAAGATATCTTAATATACTTATACAATGTACAAGCCGATTATGTAAAATATTTTGATTTTTTTCGCCATTAAAAAAATTGACCCTTTTGATGTTCGCCGATTTTTTTTACTGTTTACAAAATTTAATGGAGTAAAAGCAGTTTATGCATGTTTTGACGTTGTATTTGTGAATGGGACTCTGTATACAAGAAGTATACAAATCGAATATCTCGGCTCTAAAAATGACCCCCAACTAGTCTGTACTGTTGGACATTGCCCCCAATCCCCACCCCTCCCCCATTTAAAAAGTTCACAAAAATTAGTTTAACCTCATAATTCTCTAATGAAATTTTGTATCCTAAATTTAATGTAATCTGACTTTATTCACATCATTTAAAATGCATGTTTCAAAAAAATGACTCACTTAAGTTCAAATTTGACTAACATATGCTTAATATTTCAAAGTGACATACAGGTGAGAATACATATATGTTTCAGAGGTTACAAATTCATCTTTTTGTTTTAATTCATTCTGTGCACGACAGAAGTATAACACTATAGGTTACATTAGGTGCAAAAAAAATATGTTAATTTATCTTAAATGAACGATGGAGGTGGTTCTGTTCAAAAGCTCATTTAAAATTCCAAAAGTCACTTTGTTTTCAAAATTTGAGATATATGCATTTTTCAAAACAAATTCAACATATACGGTATTTAATGGAATTTAGCTCACCTGAACTTGACGTAATTTTGTTTATTTATAACTTAACCCTTATCACACTTAAATAGACTTCTTGTACATTTTTTTCATTAATCTTGAAATTTTTACCAATGAATAACGAAGAGCAGTCCATGATAAGATGCCACAGATGTTCCAAACTTTCCATTTTCTCTTAATATGAACAGGCTCACTGAATGAAACCGAATATTCGATTTTGATTTTTAACTAACATTGCTGTTCTCGAATTTTCTACCTCTCTAAAGATAAAAGAAATGGACTTGCAGTTATTTAAAGTTATTAATATTTTAATATTAAGAGATATGTAATTTTGCCGAATATATAATTATGATGGTGCAATTTATGTTCGTGGTATTCCTTATACTGATTAAAATGAGCACAAAAATAATTTTCTTTCAATGTTAAGCCTGCAAAGCCACCCAAAGACAGACGACATAGCAAGTTTTAAAATAGCCTGGGACATGTGCACTGGTAATTTTCAAAATGACATCTGCGCCGCATTTGCGGCTCTTTTTCTTTTTTAAATCCATATTCATTCTTAATTATATCTAGCAGTTCATCGATCAAACGGTCTCATAAAGACCTTTTCATCAAAATATTCAAGTCAAAATTTTTTTGAACATGTAACCTTGGTAGTTCACCTTTAAAGTAACCAACCTTTGAAGGTGTTATGTAACCAATGCAAATAATGTAATGAATCTTGCTTTTTCTCGCCTGAGTGATTGACACATTGTATATTGAGGTCATTAGAAAATTGAAATTATTAATTGTGATGAATTATCTACTATTAATTAAATTGTGTCATTTCCTACTTCTGAGCCTAGGTAACAAAAAAAAAGTTTTACCGTTTGACAACACTTTCACCCCACTGATGCATCACAAAAGCAATTATTTTTCAAGGTGATACTTTCGCTTTAGAATTAAGAAGGGGCAGGGAAGCTTTGGAGAAATACAGGGAAAGAAATAATTCCGTATAATTTGAATAAAGTATTAGTATACTGTTTTCAATGCTAATAGTTCAAGTTTTGTATAAATACAGAGAGCATGACGTAACAAAATAATTCATCATTATCATCATCATCATCATCATCATCATCATTATCCACATCAAAAATAGCATTCCTCATCATTCTAACAACATCATCATAATCTTCATCATTATAATTAACATCATTATCATCCTTTTCTTTGTTGTCATCGTGATCGCCATCATCTATGTCATTATCGCCGTTTTTATCATCATCATCATCATCATTATCATCATCATCATCAATGTCATTGTCACCGCTTTCACCATCATCATCATAATCATCTTCATTAACTATAACATTGTCTCCGTTTTCATCATCATCAGCAACATCATCATCGTAATCTATATCGTTGTCATATTTCTTCGTCACGACCATGCTTCTATCTCTTAATGAATACAGTGTAATATTTATACGAAACAGTTTACCATAAAGACGCCTATAAAAACGGTCATACATTAATATGAACTGACTTTAACATATTCATATTTCAGATGTTGAAATTTATTTATATACCACAAATTATGATGTTGCCATTATTTAAAAGCTATGCATGTATTCATTCAATGTTTGACTGCGAAATACTGAGTGTTCAGGGAATCCCAAAATATCCCGTATATAAATGACATGGTGTTGGTGCAACTATTTTATTTGTTAAGAAAACATATATTATATTTTAGATAATATATATGCGGGTTAAAGGCCTACTTCTTTCTTAAAATAATGATAACATGTAAACATTTGCTGAAAACAAATGCCAAAATTTCTGAAGAAATCTGTTCATTTAGTGCTTATATCCTTAGAACGACGGCCACTTTTGCAAGCATTTTCTAAGAGACATTTTTAGCTGTTTGTAGCAAAAATAATCAAAATTAAAACTGATAAAACAATCTATTTATCTGTTCTTGTGATTGAAATGGTCTGTAGACCTTAGAATTTCATTCTCACAGAAATCTCTACATAATATTATGCAATAAATTCGAGAATATAACAAAAGGTCTTGCCGAGGCATCCTTTGAGTAATCAAAAAGAAAAATGCCCTTTGTTTGGGCAAGAGAATTTGCAATATAGTGAATTCTTAATATACCGTTACTCACGGAATATTCGGGAGAATATATCGTCACCTTAGTGCAGTAACGAGTTAACTCCTATCAATTTCAATAGGAGATAGCCCGTTACTGCACTTAGGTGACGAATTATCATTTTGAGACATAAGTAACTCATACATACTACATGTAAAACGTACAGCTCTTTGCTGTTTAACCATATCACTTATCGGCTTGGGATATATTACCATGCACCCAATAATTCTGGGCCATATAACCTTGTCATAATGATATAACCTTCAAAATCTGCATACAGATGTTGATATTTTAAAACAAGGAACTATAGCAAAATTAAATAAAGCATGGGCATATTTCAACCCCCTCCCCCATAACTCATTAACGTCACGTAATATATATCCAATATCAACAGCTGTGTTACATGTTCTTTTTTCATTTTTTACAAATTTTATGAGATGGGTTGGTGATTTATGAAATACTTGCAAGGATATTTGACGTTCTTATTACCAGTAACTGATCCATTTTAAACTTTTGTATAAATTTGTACCAAGTGTTTTATCTAACCTGGTAAGGAAAACAATTTGCACGGAAGTTTCGCGTCGGGATATTTTACAATATTATGATGAATTATGGCGAAACCGTATGCTAATCTTGGCTACTTGCTGTTTTTATTTTCTTCTTCTTAAAACTGAGACATAAAATAACTTCAAAAATATTTGACTGCATTTTGTTTTTGTTATGAAATACTCCAGCTTTGATGTAATCATTTATCTGTCAGGTATTTTCAAGGGCATTGTTAATGTTTTCTGTTTTTGATTCGTATTATTGCAATCATACACCGCCACAGTGCTATCTATTTGAGTGGGTAAACCTGACAACAACAACAACAACATATTACATCAATATATTGTGATAGCCTAACGTAGACAAATAAAAACACCTTAGATATACCACATGTATTTATACTGAACGCCAAGTATACCAAATATTATGTGCAAAGAAATCATTTAAACAGTTTTGTTTCTTTAAAACACATAAGAATAACATATAACTCTAGATTATTTTGCAAAATATTGTAAATATACTGAAGGGTTACTAAAAATACCGTTTTTTGTGGTGGCCATCTTGAATCTTGACTGCCGTTTTGATTTTTAGGCTCGGGTCTTGGACGGACATCAAACTAGCCTAATCCAAAGTGGTTTGCTTGTAGAAATAATTAATAGAACGATTATATGAGCCGCGTCACGACAAAACCAGCATAATGGGTTTGCGACCAGCATGGATCCAGACCAGCCTGCGCATCCGCGCAGTCTGATCAGGATCCATGCTGTTCGCTTACAAACCCTATTACAAGTAGAGAAACTGATAGCGAATAGCATGATAGCGAACAGCATGGATCCTGATCAGACTGCGCGGATGCGCAGGCTGATCTGGATCCATGCTGGTCGCAAACGCATTACGTTGGTTTTGTCATGACGCGGCTCATATGTACTTTGACTTTAGTAGAATCACATGTGAACTAAGAAATGGTTATCACGTCGAGAAATTGTCAGATGAAAAACTCATGCATGTTTTAAGACCGTTTATCTCGACATTACGTTATTTTGACCTTACGTTATCGGCGGTCCAGGTGAATTTACATTACGAAACCTGACTGCACTTGCAGACAAGCATGACAAGAACATTAAAAGAATTGTGACAAGAAAATTTTACACATAGTTAATTTTACTTGTCCCCCGTGACTTCTTTGAATAATTTGTATGAAAAATAGAAACATTTTGCCCAGCTAATTATGAAATTTATTCAGAATGTTAGCATTAAAGTAACACTTTAACAGTGTTATTTTCTGGTCCAAAGATGTAACGTAAAGTAAATGGCAGCTTTTCAAAAAGAGACATTTGATAGACAGTCACTCAAGACATAAAAACCCAACCCACACACTTTTTATGACATTTAAAAGCTCGTCCTTTTCAAGATAGTGTTAGCTTGTATATAAAACAAGCGACACTCTGGCCAATTATTAAAGTAACAAACAAAAACATTTCCGCATATTTTAATTTTGAAACGACTGTTTACTTTTGGATGTGTTTGAAAACGCCCTTCAATAAATAAATCGTAAAATGTTGATCTTTACGACAACGGCATATCGTCTTTATCACAATTGCCGTCACACAAGTCCAGTCTAATTATTAAAAAAAAACATATTTACGTCAATTTCGTTCAAAATGAAATTCTGTATTTTTATGCCACTGAACGACGGCATGTTAAAAATCCACCGTTCGTCCGTCTGTCTGTCTGTGCGTCCCCACCTTATTCGTGTCCGGACTGTAACTTTGTCATACATTGAGGGATTTTGAAATAGCTTGGCACAAATGTCTACCATATCAAGACGATGTGTCGTGTCCAAGAACCACGTCACTACCTCAAAGGTTAAGGTCACACTAACATTTTGAGGTACACACATTTGTGTCCGGACTAACTTTGTCATGCATCGAAATATTTTAAAATAACTAGGTATAAATGGCCACCACAACAAGACGATTGGTCGCATCCATTTTGGTATACTTCCTCCTAAACATTTCTCACGCTATTTTTTTTTTTTTTTTCGTGAATTCCAATTGATTCATATATACAAAGAACATTACCGTCAATTAAGCTTGAGAAATCCCCCTCAATAATAATAATAATAATAATAATAATAAACACTTTATTTCATGAAGGTAACATATTAAGAAATACATATCTTATTTACAATATGGCCTTCAATTAAACAAGATAATGAAATTCACAAATATGTACATACATATCAAAAACAACATAAACAACAACCATTCAAATTGACAGACACATGCATACATCAGATTCATTTAAATTGTATATCAAGCAAATATTTTTTCATATTTCTTTTAAAAGCATATAGAGACGAAGACTCTTTAATATATAAAGGTAAATTATTCCATACTTGCATTGCATTATTTCTAAAAGTTCTTTTAACATATTTTGTATTAGATCTTACATGTATTATGTTTCTATTTGTAGTTGATCTAAGTGTATACGTTTGATTTTTCGAAAACACTATGATATCTGAAATGTAGGAAGGAGTCAATCCTTGTATAGATTTAAATACTAATAATGCTGTATGATATGTGCATCTATTTTCGAAAGTCAACCAGTTTAATTTAAGGAAAAGCTGTAAAGAAGGCGTTTAACTGGTTTACACAATATTATCTTTGCTGCGCGTTTCTGCAGTTTATTCACTTTTTCAAATTCAGTTTTATTACAAGTACTCCATATAATACAACAATAATCAAAACAAGGTAAAATATAAGCATTGTAAAACATTTCTTTCATTTCAGCGGATAAAAAGTACGATATACGCTTTAAGAGAGCAATTTGTTTTTGTAATTTATTACAGACGTGCTTTATTTGAACATTCCATTTTAAGTTTTCATCTAAGTAAATACCTAATAATTTCTGTGATTTCGTTTGACTTAGGCATGTACCTTCTATATTTATATCTAAAGAAGGTTTTGATTTTAATTTATTTTCTGACCCTATTACCATGCAAGTGGTCTTTTTCGGATTTATTGCCATGTTGTTTAATTTACACCATTTGCTTATATTATCAACATCACATTGCAGAGTTCTCTGAATCACTTCAAGTTTTTTATTTGATGCATGCATAGTTGTATCGTCAGCATACATGTCTATGTTAGAGTGTGTTGTACTAAATGGCATATCATTAACGTAGAAAATGAAAAGTAAAGGGCCTAATATAGACCCTTGAGGGACCCCTGATTTCACTGTTCCACTATTTGAATGACTATTTCCATATTTGATAAACTGTGTTCTATTTTCAAGATATGATTTGAAGAGTTTAATTGAGGTGTTTGAAAATTTGTACAATTTTAACTTATGCAACAATATGTTGTGATCTACCAAATCAAATGCCTTCTTTAGGTCTAATTATTTTATAATTTTGCATTGAATAGTCCTTCATTTTTATTTCTTTCTTAAGTTCGATAGACTCTTCAATAGTGAATTATTACCTCCATAAAAGGAGAACAACATGAATAATTACACAATGTTTATAACAAACATCTATACTGTATTTGATTGAAATATGTTTTATTGCCAAATATACATATATAATGACATTTACAACATTTTTTGATAAACTATATGGCGAAAGGGTTGACCAACAAGTTTTGCGATAGCAATGGGGTCTACAATATAAGTACATATGAACGTAAACTACAATACAATATAATACAATACAAAGCAAAGTAATACAATGCAATACAATACAATACA